CAACGTAGACATATAGTCCTTTATAAAAGAAGAAGAATCAAAGTAACATCACCATTATGGGTCAACAATGATATAATAACTTAATCAAGGTTATATTTTGGTTACTTCAATTGCTGAAGGAAAGAGAGCAGATTGTCTTGGTTCCACAACAGGTAGCTTGTGTTTGCATATTCTTTCCCAAATTGTACTAGAACTTGTGTGGTTTCGGTTATCCTATACAGTATCTGGCAATGTAAACCAGAGAAGCACCAAAAATAAAAAAAATAAACATCATTATTTGCATATATGTGATAGTACTTTACCATTGATTTCCAGCACCCAACACATTGGTCCAAGAAACAATGTGATGCAAAGAACACAAGAAGTCCATCTGGTACGATTCGAGCAAAGTTGACTGGACCACAAAAGTTCAATAAGCAATAACTCTGTCAAATACAATCTCTAACACACTCTACTCTTTAAAGGTTGGTTGGGATGGACTATGGAGGGGAATGCTTAGTCCAAATTTTGATAAATAGAATCTCTCTTAAAACAAAGAGTAATTGGAATGTTAAATGATCAGCGCTATGTTACTCCATCAAATTTTATAAACTGATAAACATATACCAAGATACACACTTCTACCCCGTCGACAACCCTCGGAAAACCTCCATCCAAGCTGACCCTAAAAGATCATGCATGGATGTCTAGAATCCAGATAGGCACATTACAGCCCAGTTTGAGAGGTGGCAAATTGTCAAATCGATATAATAAAAATGTGTAAGGCACCATAAAGTCATAAACCATTAATAGGCAGACATACCAATGGCATTGCCAAGATCTATCTTGTATTGAATAGAATTACGACTTCGATAAGAAGAGTTGAAAGGGTAACCAGATGGGCCAACAGGTACAACCCCTGCCCATATTTGATCTTCTGGTATGACATGAGGGTTTTCCAAACGAATAGGGAATTCTCTGCAAATGTTGGAAGTAATAACTTGTAAGAAAATCAATTATGACAAAACCACAATGTAAGAAAATAGTAAGAACAGTGTATAAGATACTTACAACTTTAATTCATTAGGAATGAATCCAATGGAGACAGTGTGCCTGATGTCAATATAATAGATCCAATACCCCATTTGGAGAACTCTTCCATGGCAATTCCTGGATTGAAGCATCACCAACTTAACATTCTAGATGCCTTATCTGCAGCAAAGGAATCAAATGAATTACCAAATGGATCGGAGTACAACATTCATCAATTAAAGAGGCTAGACTAATTCCATTGAATGAAAAAACAAATCTGGATAATAAAAATAAATATCAAAATACAGTGAAAAGATTATGAAATTCAACACACAAGATAAACACACAAACCAGAGTTTCAAAATTACAGAAAACAAGCTTGAAATCCAAAGGTATGAATAATAAAAAGAAAGATCAAAATGCAGTGAAAAGTGGAAGAAATTCAACACACAAGATAAACACACAAACCAGAGTTGATAGCATTGAGACTCTGATGGACAAATTCAACTCACTCTCGTTTAATTTATAGCAACCCATTCCAGAATTACAGATTCAAGTGGATTGAGAAATTGAGAATAGGAGAGAACTTACCAGGTTCCGCAGAGAAACCAGAGTCGAGCACGAGGTAGATGAAGTTATGGCGAATTAGAGCAGAGCAGCGGCCAATTATCCATCGAGCAAGAGGTAGACGAACTCGCGGATGGTTTGGCGGATGAAGTCGCGGAGGTACACGAAGCTCACGGAGGGTTCGGCGGATGAAGTCGTGGAGGTAGACGAAGCTCGCCGAGGGTTTGGCGGACGAAGTCGCAGAGGTAGACGAAGCTCGCCGAGGGTTTGGCGGACGAAGTCGCTGAGGTAGATGAAGCGAAGGGTTTGGGGCTTCTGTGAGGTGCTGGAACGGTTTCTAATTTACTTCGTAAAGGGCTGCAGGGACGGTTTCTAATTTATTAGTACGGAGTATATTTTTCAAAGTTGGTTCTTTGCAAACCGACATTACAAGTATACATATAAAACTAAAAAAATTGCACCCACATTTTTTTCAAAGTGTGCAACGTCGGTTCTTTGGGAAACCGTCTTAAAATAGTTCCTGGGTCCCCTACTACGTCGGTTTTTAAAGAACCGTCGTTAAAGGTGTGACGTTATATGTCATTCTTGTAGTAGTGAAATATCCATAGTTTCCTGAATATCTTGACTCACATCTATTACTCTAATGTGCCCAGCCACACAACAAGAAAGTCTCTAATGTGTCCCTCCCCAGTCCCTTCCCCAGCCCACCAGCACCCTCTCCAGCCCATCAGCCCCTCCCTAGCTCACCAGAACCCTCCCCATCCCACCAGCCCCTCCCCAGCTCCCCAATCCCCTTCCCAGTTCACCAGCACCCTCCCCAGTTCTCTCCCCAGCCCACCAGCCCCCTCCACAGCTCACTAGAACCCTCCCTATCCCACCAGCCCCCTCTCCAACCCCTCCCCAGCTCACCAGAACCCTCTCCATCTCACCAGCGCTCCAGCTCGCCAACCCCCTCCCCAATCCCCTCCCCAGCCCACCAGCCTCCTCCACAGGCTCACCAGCACCCTCCCCAGCTCGTTAGCCCCCTCAAGTCCACCAGTAACAAATTGTAGAAAAGGCTTTGTTGTTCAGGAGTGAAGTCTCCCATGATCTCTAGCAACTGCACAAAAAATAAAAAAAGAATTAATTAATTAATAAAGGCAAAAAATAGTAAATGGCCATAAAATAAAGCCATTATATTAAAAAACAAGAATACATACATGTGTGGAACACACACATACATACATTTATGATTGTAGGACTCCTGGCATTGTAACCATGATCAAACTTGATGTAATCCACCAAAGTGTCAGCCTGCATTTATACAAGTAACTTTGTAGGCATAAGACATTCAAAAGCAAGTACAAGTAATTGTTTAATAGATATATTACTTACCTCCCACAACTCTCTACATCCACAAAGCAAATAGTCCAACTCAGTTGGAGCAAATATTTGCAGGGTTGAAATGTCAAAAAACTGGTCATCAAGAACAAGCAAGAAAAATAAATTATCAATTCGAAGTCCACAATAATGGCATGCACCTGATAAAGAAACAAGGGAGATATCTAAAAATAATCCCAGAAAGCACGAAACAGTGTAAATAGCACCAAGATCTAAACCAATCATCATTCAACTTAGAAGTTCATAATTATTTGAGACAGAAGAAATGATCAAATTATCACTCTCAAATATCAATATAACTATGGAAAAATACTAGGCTGCAAAAGCCCCATATGAAGTAATGATATATTCTCCAAACAGGGAAGTCATTATATTTAAAGCTCAGATAAGCTATTTTACACACATAGGTTTGATTGAGAATGACGTTTTAAATGGTAAATAAGGTGAATGTGATGCATTGGATTAAAGGTCTTAGAGTTCTAGAAAGACAAAGCAACAACAAAACAACTACACTATCCCAGTGCTGCAAGCAAAACATTACTTCTATTAGATCTCTAGAAATCCGACAATGCAAAAAATGATTAAAATACGGTGTCGATGCCCATCAGCCCTCTTCCCATTCCACCAGCCCCCCTCCCTAGAATGAAACTTAGAATCATAGCACAAATCTAGTAAACCACCATGATTCCAAGTTCACTTAAATGGAGTTCTTAATAAAGTGACTAATAAGCCAAAACAGTTGCCATATTTCAATTTTTATGGCTTCTAGCATTCTTCTTCAACCCCACATAATCTCCTTCTTCAAGTAGCTAGTAAAACGATTACACTGTAACTTAGAGGAGACAATGAAATGAAGGATTTGATACACTATGATGATGGGTTCCTCTTATCATACAAATCCGGAACTGTTTTTCACAAAGAAAATGAAGGTGCAAAAGAGTATGGAAGAAAGGGGGAGATAGATAGTATGATAGAAGCTAATCTCTCTGGACTTGTAGAGATGACGTCCACAACTTCTAGCACGGAGTGTCCTGACAGCAGCATGCGCTTATCAGTAACCAGAAAAAAAGTAATCTCTGCATGATTACGTGATAATCATGGTTCTTCATACTCATCATTGACAACTTCTCTAAGTTAACATATCTATGGAAGTTCAATGTGTACCCATCAAGAAATGACTTTTTATCCTTTCGATATGGATGGTTCTGAGGGAGGAATCTTCGATGACAATCAAAGTAATATAGATTGCGGCTATTCTTGGCTATAGTAGCGGCACCAGCTAACCCTGCTCTTTCATTAGCGTCCTTCTCCTAGGTTTCAAACAATCTATTACGAGTTATAACCAGAGAAATACGAGGGACCTGAAGTTTTAATTGATCCAGATTGGTTAAAACCGATCTGGAATAAACTTTCACATTTTATTTTTTTGATTTTCTCTAAATCGATTTTAACCGATGTAAATTAAGTTTTCACTAATTCTAAGAATGACCCCGTTTTTTTATTAGCATCGGTTTCGGAGACAGCTGATGTAAAATGTTTCATAAAATTTCAAAATATACCCCGTTTTTCTATTTAACATTGGTTATTAAAATAACTGATGTGGAAAAATTATAAAAATTATAAAAATGACCCCATATAAGTATTTCACATGGGTTTTTAAATAACACATGTAGAAAAGATGATGTGAAAAGCCTTTTTTGTACTAGTGATCCAAGTTGTAATTTTGAACGTTTGGATCAAAGAGACAAATCCGTGCCAAAATATGACCGTTGTGCAAATGGCTAAGCCAAATTCCATGCCTAAATATTACCGTTTCTTATTCAATTACAATTCATTGCGAAAATCCGAGCCAAATGAACCTATAAATCGTAGCACATTCCTAAGCAAAAAACACATCTTATTTTATGTGTACATCTACTTACACATGAACTATTCTAAGTGACGAGTTATGGAAAAAAGGAATGTGGTCTTATTTTGTATTTGTTACATGAAATATTTATATTTGGATTTCTTAGAGGAATTATCTTCGGGCTATATGGTATGTAATTTTTTTCGCTTTATTTTTCCCTTTTAGATGAATACATATTTCATGTCTTGAATTATGATTATTGTCATTATTTTTCTTATACCAATAAAATGTCGTGTGATATGTTTTTAAAATTTACTAGCATGTACTTTTAATAGGAATAAATAAATATTTGTTAATTTATTTTTTATATTCAGGCTCAATGAATAGAGAAAGTGGAAGTTCGATGTATAGGCAACATAAAGAAAATGGTAAAGGATTGACAGATGAGTTTATTAATGGAGTTGATGAATTTATTAGTTTTACACAAAGGCAAACACGATACACAGATGGAAATAAAATAAGATGTCCATGTACACAGTGTAAAAATGCCAAGTTTGTTGATGCTGAAAATGTGTGTTGGGATTTACGAAGTATATACGAATGGTTTTATCAATAAGTATTACAATTAGACTTCTCAAGGAGAACCGCACAATACATGTATTTTGCCACAACCCTTAGGAACATCTAACTATGTTCCTAATGAGATGGCTAGTTGGGGAAATTATGAAAAAATGCCATGGGATCAAAGAATGGTTTATGATTTGGTCGACCCTTCAACATTTCACAATACCCAACCAGATAATGTTTTCATCCCACACAGTAATGTGAATGAGGAACCAAGTTCATCTTATTATGACGTAGTTGCGCTAGGCACTAGATTTCAAGAAGTTCTCAAAAGTGCAAATCAACCTCTGTATTATGATTGTGATGGTGATTCGCAGTTATCAACGGTTTCTTAATTTCTGAATATAATGACGCGCTTCAATTATGTGAACAATTAGTGATTTTCCAGCATACGGAACGCTTTCTGGCTGGAGCACCACATGCTTGATAGGGTGTCCTATTTGTATGGAGAAGTCAAATGCATTTTGGCTCAAGAATAGCCGCAATCTATATTACTTTGATTGTCATCGAAGATTCCTCCCTCAGAACCATCCATATCGAAAGGATAAAAAGTCATTTCTTGATGGGTACACATTGAACTTCCATAGATATGTTGACTTAGAGAAGTTGTCAATGATGACTATGAAGAGCCATGATTATCATGTAATCATGCAGAGATTACTTGTTGTTGCTCTCAAGGAAAATCTTCCGGATAATGTATGAGCATGCATTAGTGATGTTTGTCAATTGTTTCAGTTAATATGCTCTCCTGTATTAAACCGAACTGCACTGGAGGAGCTTCACCGTAATGCTGCCACTATAATGTGTAATCTGTAATATTTTTCTCTTTCTGTTTTGAAAGAGAAGTCATGACTAAATGAAAAAGACCTGCCAGAAATGACGATATTGATCTGGGATTGTATGAGCAAATATTTCAATCTTCAACTATCCTAGCAAAGGTTATGGTAGAAGAACGTGCCGTCATGTTGTGGAAGATGAGTTCCGAATTGCACACACCTACATTTTGATGAACTATGCAGAAGTTATTCCCTTATACAAGTATCTTAATTATTAAATAACATAATCATTTATTTCTCAATCTAACCTATTGAATTACGAAGATCAGATGTTTCAATGTTGCCACTTCGGGCCTCATTCACTCTTTGGAGAAATTGGGAGAAAAGATCAGATGGCCTTGAAAGACGGACAAACCAGCAGGCCGTCGCGACCCGAATAAGCGTTGTGATTTCCACAGCGACATCGGACACAACACGGAAGATTGCGTCGCGTTGAGAAAGGAGGTGGCCTATTTGCGGAAAAATGGTTATCTGACAGAGATCATGTCTAAACGCACCAAATCACTGTTAGGATGAAATGATAAAGCGTCACCGAATGAGTCTCGGCCACCTTCACCTTCTGCGCCGCGTAAGGTAATCAACTTTATTAATGGTGGATCTGATTTATGTGGACTAACGTATTCTGCAGCAAAGAGACACGCCCGGGATTACACCCGAGACAAGTCGTTACAGGCCTACAGGATCGGAAAACGTCAAGAGGAATGGAAGAATGCGTCAATCACATTTGATGAAACGGATATTTCTGATCCGGTACAATCTCATCACGATACGTTGGTGATCTCCCTCAGAGTGGAAAACTGCGAAGTCAAACGAGTCCTCGTAGACAACGGAAGAACCGAAAATATTACCACCATGAAAATGTTGAAAGAACTGGGAGCTAAGGAGGAAGATATAACATGATCTGGGTCAAGCTTGGTCGGATTCAATGGGGAGCCAAGCAGAACCCTAGGTAATATTTCGTTACCCGTATATACCCATGGGTTAAATGTGCAGGTCAAGTTTGACGTACTCGAAAGCCTACCAGCATACAACATGATCTTGGGAACTCCTTGGTTGCATCAAATGGGGGCAATTCCGTCAACTTATCATCAAATAATCAAATTCCCAACGCCATGGGGAGTGCAAAGTGTAAGGAATATTTGTAATTAGATTTTGATGATGCTATATTAATTAGGACTTTAAAGTTCCCCTTTTAGAAATTATGTATTAGAATTTTCCTTTGTAAAGTTCTTAGCTTAATCGACTACCAGAAGGCCTCCACACCAGAAGACCTCTTGACAGAAGATCTTTTATTCTCTGCCGAGGAACAGAAAACCTCAGGGTCTCTGTTAGCCTTTTCCATGACAGAAACCCTCCTGGTTCTCTGTAAGCTTTTATCAACAGAAGTGCTCAAGACCTTCTCTGATCAGTTCTCTGCTAAAGACACCTGAAGGCCTGACACTTGGAAGAAATCCACAAAGCCGGGAAATCAACTGAAAGATTCCTTCAACGGCTAGGAGTATAGAACGGAAAAGCTACAGTACGCGCATTAAATGCACATTTAATGCTCCCCATGCTCCGTGGAGTAATTGCAGATGATTGGCCGCAATGTCAGGATTACTTTATCCCAAAATAGTAAACCGCCAACTTTACCGGGTCCTACTGGTCAAGTCAACTGCTCGGGCATTAAATGCAGTTGTCCTCCTTCACCTCCAACGGGTAGACAACCCTCAGTATAAAAGATACACTTCGAAGAACAACCGGATAACTTTTGCTCTACTAACTTTGCCAACTTCACCACACTCTTTGCAAGAAAAACACATTCAAATCATTCAAGGCAAAAAGGTCCTCTTGAGATTCAAACTCTTCATCCTCAACAAGAGTGACACAAGTTGGAAAGAATATACATTCCTATCATATAATCCAACTAGAGAAAGGTTCCAAAAGTTCTTCAACAAATTCAAGCACTTCATCTACATATCTTTTGTAACGAAGCAAGTTGGAGGAACCCCTGTTTCAACAGAAACTCTTCTTGTTACAAGAAGGACGTCCAAGTAACTGGAGTAAGTGAAGTGGTGATATTTCCAGGAAGCTCAGTGAAAGGATCAGTCTTAAAGGAAGCCAGGCAGTGCATCCCAGGAGACATCTAGGCTTGAAGAAGACGTGGATAGCTTCTTAAGTGCTAGGACTAAGGAGTTGTAAACGGTCGTTTTTACAAGCTTAGTGGAACAGTGGATTAGAGGAACGAGTTGTTCCTTGAACCACTATGAAAATCCCTGGTGTCATTTACTTACTGCTTTAAATATTTGCACTTAGATAGAACTGTCTAACTCCTTAGACTTGGTATCTGTGTTCAGCAGAACTTGCCTTACGAGTTAACAGAAGGCCTACTGCCTTTGCTTTTCTGAGGCTAAATCAACAGAACCCCTACCAGAACCCCATCCGCTGCCAGTCTGTTCTGTCAACAGAACCAGCTATTCTGTAAAATCTGGTACTTAGTTTAAAAAGCTAAAAACCAATACAGTCTATTCACCCCCCCTCTAGACTGTATCCAGTACAACCGGGACCAACAAGTGGTATCAGAGCCTCCTTGTTCTAATAATCTCTTAGGTTATTTGCTGAACAAAGATCCACTTGTTTTTCTGTTTGACCTCATTTTTATCTGATATAATGGATCACTCCTTGTCCAAGAATCTTATGTTCTCAGATCTTAAGTTTGATGACTGGAGGATCCGGATGAAAGCGCATCTTTGTGCCCTGCATGATGAGATGTGGGAAGTTCTTGATATTGGACCTTTCACAAGCTTCCAAAAGGTCAATCCTGAGCATGCTATTGACAACACCAGACCCCATATGATTAGTAAAGCCAAGTCAGAATGGACCACTGAAGAGAGAAGAAAATATAACCTGGACAATATTGCTAAGGACATCCTCTACAAGTCCATTGATGACAGGAGATTCAAAAAGTTTATGAAGAATCCCAAAGATGGAAGGAGTCCATCTTTCAACAGAAAGCCATACCAGAAGGTCAAATCAACAGAGAGCAGTGGAGAACTTCTCTGTTACAATTGCAGACAACCCGGTCACTTCAAGGCTGACTGTCCCCATCCAAGGGTGTCCAAGAAACAAGGACAAGATGGAGAAAAGAAGAAGTATGAAGACAGCTCCAGAAAGAGAAAGGCACTTGTGACAGAACAACTAGAGAAAGACCCTATGTCAGAAACAGAATCCAGTTCTGACTCAGATTCTGATGAGGCATTCTGTTGCCTAGATACAGAGACAGAAGACCTATGCCTCATGGCTCATTCTGATGATGAGGTAACCTCTACTTCTGAATCTAGTTTTTCTTCGGTAGGCTTAGCTTTTGATTCTGATTCAATGTCAGAATTTTGGGAAGAGTTTAAGGCCATACAAGCCAATTATTCCTCTGTAACAGAAGAAAACAGTAAGTTAAAAGCTGAGATTCTTGACTTAAAGAAGGAGGTTGAGATCAAAATCAATCTTCTAATTAAGGAAAGAGATCAACTGGAGACTGAAAATGTTTCTCTTCTCAAGAGAATAAGAGAAATAGAGCCTCTCGAGATTAAGTACAAAGCTTACCAGAAGGCCCAGTCTTCCATGGAAAAGATTGTACTTGATCAACAGATTGGCACTGGTTTTGGTCTTAGTTATGGCTCAACAGAATCAGGTGAGCCTTCTGTAATGCCTAGCACCAGAGTTGCTAAGGCAGACAAGGTCATAGTGCCACTGATTTCTAGCCCCATCTGTCAAGCTGGTGTATCTGGCACCAAGATTGTTCATGAGGAAGTCAGACCAGAAAAGGGAAAGATAAAGGTTCAACAGAAACCCTTTTTGAAAAATAATGAACCTGGCAGAAAACCTAACAACAGAAAAGGTTTTCAAGATAACAAAAATAAAAGACCATTCATTGACAGACAACCTCATGTCAATCGTGCCAGAGATGATCACCAGAAGGGCAAATATCAAGAGAGAGTTAACTTCAGGCAAATGAGGTTGGCTGGTCAACTTCAGAAGCCCAAGGCTAACCGTCCCTCTGCTCTTGATAGTATATGGGACTTCTTTCCAACAAAGAAAGCTATGCAAAAGTATGTAAACAGGAAGCATGACCCTCACAAGCATCTGCCCAAAGTGAATCACACTTCAATTTACTATAACTACCAGGTGGACAATGGGTACCACCCACCAAGGTTTCACTTGATGAGACCAAAATGGTACCAACTACCCAGACTCCATGACCCCCCAGGACCCAGCATTGCTTGGGTACCTAAATCTTTCTTTTAATTTTGCAGGAACTGTGTGCTGGAGCTATCTCTGAACAAGAATGGTTTATTGATAGTGGATGCTCCAGGCACATGACAGGTGACAGAAGTTGCCTAACTGAGTTTCAGAAATGCAAAGGACCTAGAGTTACCTTTGGAGGTAATGACAAAGAAGGTCAAACAAAAGGAAGAGGAAAGCTGATCAAGAACCAGATAATCATTGATGATGTCTCTTATGTCAAAGGACTGAAGTTCAACTTGCTGAGTGCTAGCCAATTCTGTGACAAAGGCTACACTGTTGAATTCACAAAGGACTTCTGTTATGTGAAGCATGAGACAACAAAGGAAGTGGTTCTTACAGCATCAAGAAAGAAGAACATCTATGTAGTTGATTGGAACACAGCAAAGGATGGAGTTTGCCTGATAGCCAAAGGAGATTCAAAACTGAGCTGGGACTGGCACAAAAAGCTCAACCATTTGAATTTCAAAACAATCAACAAACTGGCCAGAGAACACATTGTAGAAGGGCTACCAGACATTGTGTACAAGAAGGAGACCCTCTGCAGTGCATGTCAGAAGGGCAAACAAGTGAAGAATTCCTTCAAACCCATTGCTGGAGATCTTTCTACAAGTCCTCTAAATCTGATCCACATGGATTTATTTGGACCTGTTGAGACTCCAAGCGTTGGTGGAAAGAAATACACCTTAGTCATGGTTGATGACTATTCCAGATATACATGGACTATCTTTCTATCAAAGAAGAATGAAACTCTTCAGAAGTTGCCATCTCTGTTAAAGCAACTTCAGACTGAGAAGAACTTGAAAGTGAAGACAATCAGGTCAGACAGAGGAACTGAATTTGTCAACCAAGTTATAAAAGACTTCTGTGATCAGAATGGGACTTTTCATCAACTATATGCCGCCAGAACCCCTCAACAGAATGGCGTAGCAGAAAGAAGGAACAGAACTTTAAAAGAAGCTGCAAGGACAATGTTTGCTGAATCTGGTTTGCCTATGAGATATTGGGCTGAAGGAATCAACACTGCATGCTATACTCAGAACAGAAGCATGATCAACAAGAATCACCAGAAGACCCCTTATGAACTCTGGAAAGGAAGAAAACCCAACATCTGCTACTTTCATGTATTTGGATGCAAGTGCTACATTCTTAACAATGGAAAGGAACATCTGAAAGTCTTTCAAGAGAAGGCTGATGAAGGAGTCTTTATAGGTTATTCAAACACCAGTAAAGCCTATAGAGTACTCAACAGAAGGACCCTACATGTTGAAGAATGTATACATGTGAAGTTTGATGAAAGCATCTCTGTTAAGGAGGTAACAGAGACCCTCAAGGAAGTGAGCATAGAAGACAGAACACCAGAACCAACAGAAGAGGTAGCAGACAACCCTGCATTTCCAACACCTGCACCAAACCCCTTTCTGTTGAATGAAGATGAAGACTCTGAAGATGAGGAACCAGAGAGACCAAGACAACAGCTGACAGAACCTGACCTAACATGGTTAAGAGATCATCCATCTAACCAAGTGATTGGTCAAATCAGAAGTGGAGTTCAATCCAGATCCACATCAAGAATAGAAGCTATGCTTGCCTGCTATATATCTCAAATGGAACCCATGACTGTTGAAGAAGCTCTTGCAGACTCAGATTGGATCAATGCTATGCAAGAAGAGCTTACTCAGTTTGAAAGGAACAAAGTATGGGAACTTGTTCCTAGGCCAAAGCACCAGAATGTCATTGGAACCAAATGGGTATTCAAGAACAAGGCTGATGAAGATGGCAACATTGTAAGGAATAAAGCAAGGCTGGTAGCAAAAGGTTATTGCCAAGAAGAAGGAATTGATTTTGATGAGACCTTTGCACCAGTTGCCAGACTTGAAGCCATCAGAATCTTTCTAGCCTATGCTGCTCACAACAACATCAAGGTCTACCAGATGGATGTCAAGAGTGCATTTCTAAATGGAGATCTTGAAGAAGAAGTTTATGTGGAACAACCACCAGATTTTGTCATTCCTACTCAATCCTCTTGTGACTACAAGCTTAAAAAGGCCCTATATGGTCTTAAGCAAGCTCCCAGAGCCTGGTATGACACATTGTCCCTTTTCCTAGTGAACCATGGGTTTACTAAAGGAAAGGTTGACAAAACTCTATTTCAAATCTCTGTTGCTAATCATATTCTGTTAGTACAAATATATGTTGATGATATTATATTTGGTAGTACTAATCCAGAACTATGCAAGAAATTTTCTCAAGTGATGCAGAGTCAATTTGAAATGAGTATGATGGGAGAACTAAGCTACTTCCTAGGTCTTCAAGTGAAACAAATTCCAGAAGGAATCTTCATCAACCAAGGAAAGTACACCAGAGATCTAATCAAGAAGTTTGCAGTGGAAGGCAAATCATCAGTGAAGATTCCCATGAACACTTCACAAGGAATTGGTCCAGATGATGAAGGAAAGGATGTAGATGCAACAACATATAGAGGAATCATAGGATCTCTGTTGTATCTTACTGCAAGCAGACCAGACATCTCATTCTCTGTTGGAATCTGTGCCAGATACCAATCAAAGCCCAAGGAAAGCCATCTAAGTGCTGCAAAGAGAATCATCAGATACATCAAAGGAAATCCAAATGCAGGCCTATGGTACCCCAAGGGAGGTAACTTTGAACTAATTGGTTACTCTGACTCAGATTTTGCAGGTTGCAGATTGGACAGGAAGAGCACCTCTGGTCATTGCCAATTGGTAGGAGGAAGACTTGTTTCCTGGTTTAGCAAGAAGCAGAATTCAATCTCAACAAGTACAGCTGAAGCTGAGTACATTGCAGCTGGGAGTTGCTGTGCTCAGTTACTCTGGATGAAGCAACAACTGAAGGATTATGGAATTCAAGTAAAGGAGATCAAGATGTTGTGTGACAACACCAGTGCCATTGCTATCTCTCAGAATCCAGTTCTTCATTCTAGGACAAAGCACATTGAGATCAGACATCACTTCATCAGAGATCATGTTGAGAAGAAGCACATATGCATGGAGCATGTGCCAACAGAAGACCAGCTAGCAGATATTCTGACAAAGCCTCTTCCTGAGGCTAGGTTCAACAAACTGAGAGAGGATTTGGGAATGATGGATGAAATTCCAAGGGAAAGTTGAAAAGGAAGGCCCTCTGTTGCTAAATTTCTGTTAATAGAATACCTATTGAAGAACCCCTTATGTTAACCCCTTCTGTTCTCTACCCTGGCAGAACACCTCAGCAACAGAAACCCTTTAAACAGAAAGCCTCCTCTTATGTCTATCAGAAGGTTGTGGACTTAGAAAAATCTGAAAACCGGGTGACCTAGTAAATGATTAAAGATATTTTACCCTTTTACCCTTAAAACGGTATCCAGCCGCAAAATATTTACTGCGCCCCTTTTTACATTTATTGGTATCTTGGAACCGTAAATAATTCCAAGCGTCCACTAACCCAAACTCATAAATTCCCCTTTCGCAAACCTAAACTGTTACTGCTTTCATTACTCTCAAACTCTCAAACCTCCATAGCTCTCAAGCTCTCTGCAAACTTTCTCTGCTCAAATGGCTTTCATCAACATTAATGACCTCACCAAGGAGGAAATCAACACCCTAGTTTCAAACATCTACACAGGAATGAACTGCGACCTCTCCGCACTCCCTGAACTCGCTGCAAATCATGAAACGATGATGAAAATCATCAAGGGAATGGAGGACTCGCAACTGAACAAAGTAGTAGGATATCACTTTGATTCCTACAGCACAAGGGACGTAGCAGAGTTTTATCTCAACGCTACATACGAAGGGGAGACCATTCGGTCAAACGTCAATGGTGAGAACATAACTCTCACTCCTGAAGATCTCAACGCCCTGTTTGGCGTAGCGGAGGACCCTCAAGAAGAAGAAACTGAAAGTTTCTTAACTCTGGACAGTGTCAAGGTCACTGTGGACAATTTTGTCCAACTCTACTGCCGACCTGAAGTGAGTAGAGTTCCCAAACTTTACATGAAGAAGAACCACCTCCTTCTGAGCGATTATGAGAAGCTGGTGAACATTCTTCACAGGTGTGTCTGGAGCAAGAGCACCTCCACCGATGACATGAATGTACTCATTGCAAAAGCTGTCTTTGCAGTTCATCATGGGATGAACATCAACTGGGGACAGGTAATTGTCAAATCCCTTGTTGAATTCATCAAAAAGAAAGACAAAGAGACCGGACTGTTCAAAACCCCCATGGGTTATGGTCTCTTAATCTCTGAAACCTTGCTCAAGGCAAGGATAGGGCTGAGAAATCCTACTGAGGCAGACTACACCAAGTTTCTCTTCCTCAACACCTCCAATGACAGGAAGATTGCTCTCAAGGCAGAGCAGAAAAGGCTCAGAACTCTTGAGTTCAACAGAGAAAGGCAACAACAGAAGGTTGTTCAGCCAAAGAAAGTCACCAAGAAGCAACAGAAACCCCCTACTTCTTCTGATTCTGAAGAAGAAATGCCTTTGGTGAAGAAGGTGGTCAAGAAGGTTCCCAAAAAGAAGACCACACCTGTCAAAGTCCACAAGCTGGTGGCAAAGAAATCCGTTCTGAAGAGAAAGGCACCTTCCCCTATCTCAACAGAAAGCACCCCCACTGCCTCTCCCATTGCAAAGAAGGCAAAGGTTCTGACACCTGCAGCACAGGAAAAGCTGGAGGATTCTGTCACCTCTGCCCCAGCCAACAGAAATGCTTGGCAAAGCAAGAGGATTGTCTTTGAGTCAAGTGACTCAGAAGAAGAAGTAGTGGTGCAGGATGCCACTACTCAGGAGGAACCACACTTCTCTCCTCCTGCCTCTACAAATGATCAACCTCTGGTGGTTTCTTCACCAGAACACCAAGAAGATAGCAGAATTTCAAGCTCTGCAGAACCCCTACTGAACAACTTCTCTGCCCTTGATAGGGAATTCGTCAGGGTTCTGGCATGGAGAAAGTGGAGAGTGGGACCTCTCACTGAGCTACTGAAGAACTTGTCCCACTTCATCTCTGAGGAAGATGAAGTACTCCGATGGGCTGACACAGAAGATGTGGAACAATGCCTGAATAAAGACTTCCTTCTTTCTGTCCTACAGAAAAAGAAGGAGAAACACCAAGGAAAGGCTCCTCTGTTCAAGAACTCACCAGAAGACCATGTGAAGGCTCTTCAAGAGCATGAGATGGATGATTTTGATGCTTGGTTTGTTGAGAAGAAGAGGAAGGAGTCAATGATCAAGTTTCGACACAGTGCACATGGAGAAGGTGAACCCTCCACTGCAAATAACCTACCCTTGGTCATGGAGAAGCTTATCAAAGAATGGAGGGATTCTCTGTTCACAGAAACTGTACTAGAGGTAATTCCCACAACCATCCCTTCTCCCCCTCCCTCTCCTAAAATCACTTCACCTCAACCCCAACAGAAATCCCCCTCACCCTCATAGAAAACCATCTCCAGACATAACACCTCCTCACCTCATCAGAAACCCTCTTCTGCACAGAAAACCCCTACACCCCAGAAACCCTCCACCCCCAAATCTTTATCTCTTTCACCCTGCAAACCGTTCTCTCCTCCAAAGAACAGATCCCCATCCCCACCTCCTTCCCCTCAAAGACAAATTATCCAATACCAACCCCCACAGATCATTTCTTCATCACCACCACCTCAACAGAAATCCCCTTCACCTACCAAGTCTGAACATGCAGAAACTCCTCAAGACTCCCATCCACCACACCAACCTGCTGCTCAGCTGAAACCTGAATGGTTTCTTAGAGATTCTGATCCTACAACCATCTCTCCCATTCCTGCACCACAAGGGTATTCCAGGCACTCTACTGCCCCCAATCCCTCCCTCAGGAAGAAGAAGAAGAAGGTGATCAGAAACATGATAGCAATCTACTCCTCATCTGAGGACTCTTCTGACATGGATGGATTCATGATCAGCAAATCCTACAAAGCCACTTCAAAGAAACAGAAGACCCCTCCTCTGACTCAACTTGAACATGAACTCATTGTTGAATCTCTCTCCTCTGTCCAAGAACATCACCTCTTGCCTAAGGGAAGAGGTCTAGAGATGCCTCCATCTGATGGACAAGAGAACCAAATTCCTTTCAACAAGTTCGTTGAAGCAGCTGAAGACTTTGGTGGCCAACTCCTCCATTGCATGAACAAGTTGATACAGATCAATGACAAGCATTATGGGCACCTTGCTCATGTGAATGATAATCTCAACTCTGGGATGCAGTTTATCTCAGATCGCTTTGAGAATCTGACAACATCTCTCAACGACTTCATGGCTTCCTCAACTGCTAAAACAGATACACTGTCAAGGGAAGTGGAAGGTATCCATAAGACCCTCTTCACATTTCATCAGACTCTAATAGCTCAGGGAAAAGCTATTGAAACAATCTCCTCAAATATTGATGAACTTCAATGGGCTGATACAAAGACAAAAGAACAGCTACTGGACATAGAGGAACTGTGCAAAGTCCATCGTGATCAAGCCAGAACTCTATTTTCTCAAGACAAAGAGAGATACCAGAAGATGGTTCTCTTAGAAGCCAGCAATAAAGATATCCTGTCTGCAATTCAGAAGCAACATGGGCTTATTGAAGGTCTTACATCTGTGACTCAGACCTTACCAGAAACCCTGGAACAGATTGCCTCTACTCAGGCCACAGAATTCCAGAAACTCTCCCTTCTGCTTGGTGATCTAGATGATGCCAAAAAGGGGGAAGAAGGCCCTCATCTATCAAAACCCAGGACCACCAGAACCTCAACATCTGCTGAACCAAGTGTGGATCCCACACCTTACTTTGAAGCTGCCCTTCAGAAGAAAAGGCTAGCTGGTATCCCTAGACCTCCATCCCCACTGAAGAAAGGATCTAAGAAGAAGAAAGCTCTAAGCTTTAAAGAATGTAGACTGGGAGGATCTCAGGTAATGACTGCTACACAATTTGATGAAATGGAGCAGAAGATGACCTCTACACAGCAACAGAATATGTATTTGGACCATGATGGCCATGTGAAGGTCAAACATGGTGGATCTCTGGAAGAAGCAGAATTCTGGTTTCACAACAATATTTTACCAGGAAGAGATATCCATGAAGGTGTTCTTAACTACTTAGACTGCAAACTCTCACCTGTCTGGGCCTCTTATCAAAGAACTGGAAATCTGGCTGGAATCAGAAAAGAGGTGAATGCAGAACTAAAGAGACTACAAGGACTGGATGAACAAGTAAGAGCTGAAGCTGCAAAGGCTATTATGTAATCAGACACTCTTGTAATCCACCTTAACAAAAGAACATCTCTGCCTCACACTTTGTAAGGCAATTCCTCATTCTCTGTCTTTTCTTTACTTTCTGTTTGTGTTTGTTTGTTTGCTTTTTGATTTATTATTTGCTATCTGAATGTACTGCACTCTTACTATTTTCCTATGCCAAGTTGCCCACCAAGATTTTAATGAAAAGTTCTAAACTTTAATTCTTTATGGTGAAGGCACTTCTCTGGAAATAGTTAAAGGGTTTTGGCATCATCAAAAGGGGGAAATTGTAAGGAATATTTGTAATTAGATTTTGATGATGCTATATTAATTAGGACTTTAAAGTACCCCTTTTAGAAATTATGTATTAGAATTTTCCTTTGTAAAGTTCTTAGCTTAATCGACTACCAGAAGGCCTCCACACCAGAAGACCTCTTGACAGAAGATCTTTTATTCTCAGCCGAGGAACAGAAAACCTCAGGGTCTATGTTAGCCTTTTCCATGACAGAAACCCTCCTGGTTCTCTGTAAGCTTTTATCAACAGAAGTGCTCAAGACCTTCTCTGATCAGTTCTCTGCTAAAGACACCAGAAGGCCTGACACTTGGAAGAAATCCACAAAGCCGGGAAATCAACTGAAAGATTCCTTCAACGGCTAGGAGTATAGAACGGAAAAGCTACAGTACGCGCATTAAATGCACATTTAATGCTCCCCATGCTCCGTGGAGTAATTGCAGATGATTGGCCGCAATGTCAGGATTACTTTATCCCAAAATAGTAACCCGCCAACTTTACCGGGTCCTACTGGTCAAGTCAACTGCTCGGGCATTAAATGCAGTTGTCCTCCTTCACCTCCAACGGGAAGACAACCCTCAGTATAAAAGATACACTTCGAAGAACAACCGGATAACTTTTGCTCTACTAACTTTGCCAACTTCACCACACTCTTTGCAAGAAAAACACATTCAAATCATTCAAGGCAAAAAGGTCCTCTTGAGATTCAAACTCTTCATCCTCAACAAGAGTGACACAAGTTGGAAAGAATATACATTCCTATCATATAATCCAACTAGAGCAAGGTTCCAAAAGTTCTTCAACAACTTCAAGCACTTCATCTACATATCTTTTGTAACGAAGCAAGTTGGAGGAACCCCTGTTTCAACAGAAACTCTTCTTGTTACAAGAAGGACGTCCAAGTAACTGGAGTAAGTGAAGTGGTGATATTTCCAGGAAGCTCAGTGAAAGGACCAGTCTGAAAGGAAGCCAGGCAGTGCATCCCAGGAGACATCTAGGCTTGAAGAAGACGTGGAGAGCTTCTTAAGTGCTAGGACTAAGGAGTTGTAAACGGTCGTTTTTACAAGCTTAGTGGAACAGTGGATTAGAGGAACGAGTTGTTCCTTGAACCACTACAAAAATCCCTGGTGTCATTTACTTACTGCTTTAAATATTTGCACTTAGATAGAACTGTCTAACTCCTTAGACTTGGTATCTGTGTTCAGCAGAACTTGCCTTACGAGTTAACAGAAGGCCTACTGCCTTTGCTTTTCTGAGGCTAAATCAACAGAACCCCCTACCAGAACCCCATCCGTTGCCAGTCTGTTCTGTCAACAGAACCGGCTATTCTGTAAAATCTGGTACTTAGTTTAAAAAGCTAAAAACCAATACAGTCTATTCACCCCCCCCCCTCTAGACTGTATCCAGTACAACCGGGACCAACACAAAGCATCAAGGGGGATCAACAGTCGGCCAAATCTTGCTACCAAACAGCGATGAGGCCAACTGCGGACCAAACTACCTCGAAGATCGCATAGCAATTAAAGGGTGGCCCCGCTCTGGTGGAAGATGACGCCAAAACAAAAGAAGTCGCCATCAACCCAGAACATCCAGAAAGGGTCATCCGCATCGGGAAAGACATGCCAAAGCACCTCAGAGACGAACGGATAAACTTCCTCAAAGAACATAAGGACGTGTTTGCATGGAGTCACGACGACATGACAGGTATTGATCCTAATATCATAACTCACGGGTTAAACGTCAGACATTGACGCATTAGCTGACGCATTACACAAACCCGTCAGACAGAAAAGAAGACGCTTTGCAAAAGAGAGGAATGCCATTATAAACCAGGAAGTTGATACGCTGCTTCGAACCGGAAAGGTAAAGGAGGTAAAATATACCGATTGGTTAGCTAATGTTGTTGTTGTCCAGAAAAAGAAAGGGCAGGAGGAAGGCAAGCCAGTCAAATGGAGAGTCTGTGTGGACTTCACTGACCTAAACAAAGCATGTCCCAAAGACTCATTTCCGATGCCACACATTGACGCATTAGGTGACGCTACGGCAGGGCACGAAATGCTATCCTTCATGGACGCATTCAGTGGTTATCATCAAATACAACTTCACCCCGATGACCAAGAAAGCACAGCCTTCATCACGGAAACAGGTACGTATTGTTATGTTGTTATGCCTTTTGGACTAAAAAATGCAGGTGCGACGTTTCAGAGACTAGTCACCTTAATGTTCAAAGATCTGATGGGGGACACCATGGAAGTTTATATTGACGACATGATCGTCAAATCAAAGAAAAAAGAGGATCATATCTATCACCTGACGGAACCCTTCAGAAGACTGAAGAAATACAACCTGAAGATCAATCCAATGAAATGTACTTTTGGAGTGACGTCAGGGGAATTTTTAGGATATATCGTCAGTGAACGAGGAATAGAGGCAAGCCCGGAACAAATACGAGCAATTATTGACATTGAATCTCCAAAATCCGTCAAAGATGTCCAGAGGTTGATAGGACGAGTCGCGGCTTTGAATCGTTTCATTTCGAAATCATCAGACAGGTGCCATTTGTTTTATGACGTCTTGAGAAAGAACAAAAAATTCGAATGGACAGATCGGCACGAACAGGCGCTTCAGCAACTAAAAGAATATATGATGTCGCCACCATTGCTCGCAAAACCCAAAAGTGACGATGAACTGCAACTTTATCTGGCCGTTTCAGAGCACGCCGTCAGTGCAGTACTGACAAAAGAGGAGCAGGGGCAGCAAACTCCAGTCTATTACGTAAGTAAATCCCTAAATGGCCCGGAATCCAGGTACGCTTTACTTGAAAAATTAGTTTTATCATGAGGAAACCAGAATTGACAGGTCGCATGGCTAAATGGCTGATTCAACTTGGAGCTTATGACATAAGATTCGAACCAAGAACAGCCTTGAAATCACAGTCACTTGCAGATTTTGTGGCGGACTTCAGTCCAAAGCTCCAAGATGAGGCAGAAAAAGAGACTTGCACTCTGATCGACGGATTGCCAAAGCAAAAATGGACATTGCACACTCACGGAGCATCAAACCAGAACGGCGCAGGTCTGGGCGTGGTACTGAAGTCACCACAAGGGGACACCATGCTCCAAGCAGTACACTGTGATTTCACCGCTACGAACAACGAGGCAGAGTACGAGGCGCTAATCGTCGGACTCACATTGGCAAGGGACTTGGGCATCAAAATCTTGGAGGTAAAATGTGACTCTTTACTGATAATTAATCAAACTAATGGTGTGTATGCAGAAAAGGACCCCAAGATGACATCTTATTTCCAAATTGTCCGAGAATTGATAACGGCATTTGACGAGATAACCCTTGAACAAGTCCCACGTGAAGAAAACACACAAGCTGACGCTCTGGCCGCCGTCGGATCATGTCTGGGGGCAGAAATCAATCGCAACATCCCTTATGTGCACTTGATGAGCCCAGCAATTTACAGATCAGAGGTTGTCTCTCCCATTGAAACCCCAGCACAAGACGACTGGACACAACAATACATAGCGTACTTAATGCACAATACTCTCCCAGAAGACAAGAAAGAGGCCAAGGCTTTCCTATCCAAGGTAAGTAAATTCCTACTAATTGATGGTGTACTATTTAAAAGATCTGTCGTAGGTCCATATCAAAGATGTCTGACACCGCAAGAAGCCGCCAAAGTATTGAAACACCTTCATGAAAGGGAGTGTGGCAACCACACAGCCAGGCGAAGTCTGTCTAACAAAGCTCTTAGATTCGGATATTACTGGCCAACCATGAGAGAAGACGCAACCACTTTCACCCAAAGATGCAAGCCTTGTCAGATGCACGGACCAATTTGTCATCAGCCTTCTGAGTCGCTTCATCCAGTCCTATCACCATGGCCCTTTATGAAGTGGGGCATGGATATCGTAGGAAAATTGCCAGAAGCACCGAGGCAGAAAGTATATATGCTGGCAATGACGGATTATTTTTCAAAATGGGTGGAGGCTGAGCCTTTTCGTCAGATACGAGATGACCAGGTAATTTCGTTTATCAAAAGAAACATCCTTTGCAGGTTCGGCGTTCCTTCAGAGATCGTCTGTGACAATGGATCTCAGTTCATAAGCGCTAAGACCAGACGTTTTTGTGAGAAGTACAATATCAAATTGGAAACGTCGACACCTAGGTACCCGCAATCTAATGGACAGACCGAGTCTAGCGACAAAATTATCATTGCCATCTTAAAGAAGAGGCTTGAAAAGGCGCAAGGCAGGTGGGCTGACGAATTGCCCTTGATACTATGGGCAGACATGACAACTCCAAAAAATGCAATCGGACAAACCCCATTCTCTCTGGTGTATGGCTGCGAAGCGGTCATTCCTGCTGAAATTGAAGTACCTTCTTCAAGATATGGACTCATGACTGTGGAGTTGAACAATGTGGAGTTGACGCATGACTTGGATACCATTGACGAGATCCGTGAACGAGCCAAGATTCGTTTGCAGACATATCAACAGATGGTTGCAAAAAGCTATAATAAAAATGTCCGGGCGAAGGTGTTCAAGAGGGGAGATTGGGTCTTGAGGAGAGCATTTGGTAATGAAGCAGCCGAAAAATTTAGTCCTAATTGGGAAGGACCTTACAAAATCATTGACGTCGTTGGTCAGGGGGCATACCGCCTGGAATCAATCGATGGTAAACGAGTCCCTCGAAGTTGGAATGCGGTACATTTAAAACGTTTTCATTTTTAACAAGAGTTCTTTTCTTTTCTGCATCTCTATCCCTATTACTAAATGAAGTAACTAACTTGACCGTCGGAGGGCCGTTGGCTTAAGGCCAACGACCGACCTTGACAATAATTGTAAATACAGGAAGGCACACAAAAATGGCAAAGTCACAGGTAATTAGTTACGGTTCACGTAATCTTGAATATAGTAAATACAATTCATCGTTTACTAACTTGACCGTCGGAGGGCCGTTGGCCCTAAGCCAACGGCTGACCCGAACGGTACGGTATCATCGCAGGACTCTGACAGGTTAAGATCTAAATACCAGGTGACACAAATGCCAGAACAACAGGTAGAACATCCAGATTTGCTCATGACAAAACGTCAATATACAGGGGACATGGGGCTCATTATGAAAAAACCATGAATGAAGTTCCATGAAACCGAATACGTTTTGGCCAAAACACACACACATTTATGACACATCGCATACACATGACATGTTGCACACATAAACATCATGCATGCATACACAACAGAATGCACATAAGCAAAAGTATGGTCCAAGCAATAGCAAAAACAGTGACAGATTCACATAATAGTATGGACAGGGCTGGGCTAAACCGCCAAGCATAAAGCCCATGAGTAGCGCGATAAGGCGTTAAGTCTCGGATAAACCACCGGGAACCCTTAACACAAGTCGAAAAGTGTCAGAGTAATTCAAAAGCAGGGAATGTTTGGAATCCAGCAAACTTAGAAAAAAGGGGAAGCATGATCATCTGACCGATAAACGTTAAGAATCAGTCTCATCGTCAGAATGACCCACCTCGAAGCCGTCTTCTCCTACAGGAGGATCCATCTCTTCCCTCAGTTTATGCCATGTCGCCACATCCCGTTCCAATGACCGGTGTGTCATTTCTCCTTTAATGAAAGACGCCATCAACTCACCCCTGGTCTTCCAAGCATAATAGCAAGCGGCGTCAATTACTTCCTGTTTCTTTTTTCGACCATAAGCCTCCAAGGATTTGACTCTGGCGTTGAGCTGCAGAATCTGGGCAGATTGAGTAGAACTTTTGTCTTCCAACTCTTGAACTAACTTTGTATTCTTATCAAGTGTAGATGCTAGGGAGATCTCCTTTTGTTTCAGCTCATCAACGGTTCTCTCTAGTAAAGAGACACGAGCGGCAGCGACAAGGCTCGCCTGAATACTCTGAAGAAGACAAGACAAGTTAATAGAGAATAAAGGGAAGAAAGCTCACTAAGCATGGTGATTCGTCAGCACTTGAAACACATAAGCGGAAGATGCAGCAATAACACCGGTAGGGGGCAAGCAGTCAAAAATAGGAGCAGAGGAGGCCAATTGAAATTGAGCCATTTCGTTTTTCATGATCAGAGCGTCCTTCAAATCACAGAATTTCGGGGAAAGTGACAAGTGCATAACTTGTGGTGGCTTCGCCCAGGTATCAACCCCATGTTCCGCATTGGGAGCATTAAGAGTTGTGGCAGCATCATGCGTCGGGTATTTGGGGACCTTTGGTGGATTTGCTGACAATTTAGAGGGCATCCTTTTCCTCCTCGATGCCATAGCCAACAGCTCATGATCAGAAGGAACGGAACGGGAAGTGCTTGATGAAGTAGCTAAACAAATAAAGAGGAATAGGAGTAAGGGGTACTCGATCCGGCACTAATAAAGAAAAACATAGACCTCAGATAGTACCTGCAATAGGAGTGGAATCTTGGGTGGGGGCACGGGAGTATTCTTAGCAATCGGAAAAACAACTTGTAAAGGGACGAAAGCGCTCATGCCCTCGCCATCATCTTTGGAAACTTCAGATCCTTGCCCTGAATCTTCTACGGAAACGACATGTGAATTCTGATTCAAATCGTGTGCGGTAGGAGTGTGCCTACGAGATCGCCTTAACCCCACATAATCAGACTCAACAGGAAGAGGCGACGTACCTTGAAAGTCTGACACCAGGTTCACATAAGTTCGATCCTCAATAGGGAACGAAAGAATCTTGGCATTTCTCTCTTCAGAATGCAGACCGGGAACCAGTGGAATAGTCTTCCTCTCTGCACAACAAGGAGAAACAATGCCAAATACATCAAGATTTATACTTATATCCAGACGCACAGAAAACCATCTGGAGTTACCCAAATCCATCATTCACGCCCGAGGTTGTAAATCAGATAACGAAAATAGGAAACGGAAATCAACAGAGCAAGTCAAGAAACACGATGTGAAAGAGAAGCTAACCTTTGTGTAAATTCTCTTCCAGGAATGATCCGTCAGCACCTAGCGACTCTTTGTTTACAAAAAAGTACAAGTTCATCCACCCCCGGTCATTAGCTTTGTCCACTTTGTGAATGAGGGCCTCTTTTCCTTCCTTCACTGCTAAGGTAAAACGACCGGCTCCTGAAGATCTGAGGTCGTAGGTGGATCCCAGGTCTTCGAAATCTAGGGCCAAACTGTGTTTCTCACTCAAGACCTGTAAAGCTCTGTGTACCCTCCATACTTGGGGCATAATTTGGGAAGGAGATACTCTGACGAAAGCAAGAAAGTCTCAGACTAAACGTGAGAATGGGAATTTCATGCCTATTTTGAAAGGGTACATCAAGAAGTTTATCCACCCATCACAGAACCAATCTATCCTCTCGTTCGCTGCTGGAAAACGAATAATCGCGTCGTGGGGAAAGCCGATAGATGACCTGATAAGTTCGACATGATATTCTGAAAGCTTCGCTTGCTTTGAGTTCTTTGGATCTAAGATGTGTTGCGGAATAAAGGATTGTGAAGCCATGAAGAACCGAGGCGCTGGCTGGGGTTTGCAAGAAATTGAAAAGAGGGGAAAAGGAGTTTTTCGTGCTGAGTTAATTCACTAAGGGAAGAAGAGACTGGCGATTGATTGATCGATACCAAACGACTGACGGCTTTATGCATTCCAAGGCGATGTCATGATGGTAAAAATTCAAAGAATCAGATGGCCCTTTAATTTTTCAAAATTGGCGCCTTCCTCTTCTTTGAATTGGGGGCAATTGTTGGGCCGAGAATAATATGGACCCATGATCATTTTAAAATAATGGAAGTGATGGATAGTCTACCCGGGGGTATATATCCGTAGGGTTATTGCGGGGAATAACTTAGAGAGAAGTCAGAGTAAGCAAGTAAATGTAGAGAGAGAGTGTATTCAGTATGAATGCCGTTTTCAGCGTGGTTACAAATGAGGAAATGGGGTGTTATTTATAGTAGCAATAAATGCCGGGCAGGGACACGTGTCAAGTGCTCATTAGCCGAGGGGTCACCTCAACTGGTTGGCGCTGGCAGCCGCATGTGGCCGCATTTAATGCGGCTGTTGGATGGGACGTCTGTGCAGGGTACGGTGATCTGTACGCATGTGAGGCGGATATCTTGTCGAGTGAGATGCCTTCGGCTATAGAGCTGTAGCCGAGGGCTCCTCCAACCGATGACACCCTGGTGTCGAGGGCTCACAGTGCCGAGGGCTACTGTTTTCGCCGTTTTCTCCCAGTTTCTTAATTTGCTTGAGAAACCCGCTCTGTGAGAATTTAGAGCCTTCGGCCAGGGGGCCGAAGGCACCCCTGGCGCGTAGTGCGGGCTGCTTGGCACTCTGGGCGCTGTGATTTGGGCCTGCTGGGCCTTCTGGGCCTGTTGGGCCTTCGCTGGAGTAGTAGGAGTCTGTGGGTCGGGGGTTCCCGGGCCATATACTCCATCAGGAGTCCCTCACTCCTTTTGCCGAAAGGTACTTGAGGGAAAAGGAGTAATTTGTGCTTGCCCTTTGATGTTGTCCCGTCATGATCTCTGAAGTTGGTGAGGAGTTGTTGCTTTTATGTCCCTGCCGAAGGCAGTCCCTCAGTTACCCACATGTCGGGACTTGAGGGCTTGCCTTGTCGTTTGTTGGAATTTCACTGATTTTGTAATTTAATGATTTTCCCGAGGGGGTCCTCCAGTCCCCCACTCCTTGAGGCACTTGTAATGTGGTGAAAAGGAGTAAAGTAGTTACGTTGCTGTTGTGGGCCGAAGGCTGACGCTTTTCGTTTCATTTTGGGGGGATGCCTCGTTAAAAACCTCATTAGGAAAAACCCTGGGGAAAAAATCCTAATGAGGGAAAAAGAGTGCACCGAATTCCCCCAATGATGAATCGAAAATGTGGAACCTTGGTCAAAAATGGAGAACAACGGTAATGCCGAAGGCTCTTCCTTGTTCTGAGGGCTCATGTGTTGGTTAGCCGAAGGCTTGCTGTTGATGTCCTGGGTGCGCCGAAGGGGAGCCCCTCATTCTGGGGATCGAGGGCACGCTGGATGAGGGCTGCAGTGGAGTTGTTACCGGGTGGTCCACTGTTTGTTGATTAGTTGGTGATGAAGATACCCGAGGGCTCCCATTACATGTGTGCCATGGGTCACCCGTCAATGAGGCAACTCCCCGGGGGCTACCCGGTTTTGCAGTGCTGAGGGGGAATCCCCGAGGGGTGCCCTGATATGAAGCCTTGGGTTTCTGAAGGGGTGATCCCGAAGGCATCTGCTATGGGGCTGTGTGGGGCACAACTCGGGGGCGTCTCTGGGTAAGTGTACCCGGAGGCTATCCTTGATGGAGTGGGGTGAAGTAGAAAACCCGGGGGCTTCCAGAATATAGCCGTTGGAAATATAGCCGTTGGAAATATAGCCGTTGGAATATGTAACGTCAGGTTTTTAGCCGTTGGGGGGGGGGTACACGTGGTGTGTGATGGCTGGCTGTCCGTGGGCGGCATCACTGGTTGGGCGAAACGCGGCGTGTGATGATGGCGTCCATCCGGAGGCCCAGTTTTCGGGCCCAAGCCCGGACTCGGGGGTCTATAAATACCCCGGATCCAGAGCCATTTCTTCCTTACGCGTCCAAAAATCCAAAAATTCTAGAGAGAGAAACTCAAGCCCTCGGTCATAGCACTTTCAGAGGTTAGTTCTCCCTTCGCTCCTCAACACTTTTTGTAAGTTCCGCCCTCTGGCCTTAGTTTAGGGTTAGGGTTCTGTAGAAATCCTTCGAAACCTTAGGCACATTTTGTGGCAAAGAATGTCGTCCGAGAGCGATTCCCAAAATATCTCGAGGGAGCCCTCGATTGAGGATGAGGTTGCTTCCGATGTTGAGTCAAGCAGCAGTGCGCCCTCGGTTGCCGATGACGAAGCCGTGGCCTTGGAGTTGCAGAAGGCCCTTGCTGCTGAAGTGGAAGCCGAGGGCTTCGAACAGGAGTGCGAAGATGAAGAACTAGCCCTCGCGTATCAGGTGGCGGAGGACGAAGCCCAAAAGGAGGCGATGACGGTCACTGTTGCTGTGCCACGCCCTCGGACTGACTGTGGTGAGCCTAGTACCTCCAGGCCGTTGGACCCGACGCCTCTGAGAATAGCCCCCGGCAAAAAGAAGATGAAGTCGCAGAGGGCTGCCCCCAAGAAGAAGGGTGTTGCCGCCGGTGTTGGGGGGCCTGTTGAAATGCCAGAGGGGTATACCTGGCTAAACACCGAAGCCCTCGATATCAAGTCGAAGGCGGACAGGGCTGACTTGTACGTCACGCAGCTGCACGTTGGGCCCTCGGCCGTAGTGGTGGAGCCAGGCGTCGACGATCTGCTGTCCAGGCCACCCGAGGGATGCATTGCCGTCCACATTCGGTCGGTGTCAATGGGCCTCCGGTTCCCCCTGCACCCATTTCTCCGGGAGTACCTCAGGTTTGTTGGACTCATCCCCTGCCAACTTACCCCCAACAGATATTCATACGTTGCTGACTTCCTGCACCTGTGCCGGACGAGGGATGTTACCCCAAGCTTGGACCTCTTCTTCCAAAGCTTCAACTTGTGCCGAGGGGGGCACGCGAATGCCGAGGGCTTCGCCAATTTACAGCAGGTAGCAAAGTTCAAGCTGTTTACCGAGGCGCCCTCGTCCAATAAGGGCTGGAAAGACAGATGGTGCTACGTCCGACTGGCCGAGAATCCCTTCCCGAGGGAGCTACGGGACCGCTTTCGGCGCCACGAGAGGGTGGGGAGTGATGCCCTAGAGAAGGATGGCTTGAAACTCGCCAAGATTCCGGAGGGCAAGACGAAGGTCGTGACGATCAAAGAATGCACTTTTGAGGAAGACTTGCATGCCATCGGGTTCCAACGGTACCGGTTCATCGGGGAAATAGATGAGAAGTACCCCGTCTTCACTGAGGCCTTCGGGGGAGCAAGAGGTAGGCTACGAGGGCCCTTATTCTCCTACTTAGGCACTTTCATTTTGCATCCCGATAGTTGTTTGTGGTATGAACCCTTCGGGTTAATATTCTCTTTGCTTTGTTTTGCAGGTATGGAGGCTCTCTTCGCAATGAAAAAGAAGAAGGAGAGGGCGCAGGCCCAGAAGAAGCAGAAGACGGAGCCCTCGGGTCAAAAGCCCATTGATGAGGTTTTCCCGAAGGAGACCGCAAAACCTTCAGTTGCTGCTGCTCCTGCTACTGCGGCCGGGGGGGCGAAGGCTGATGTGGCAGCCAAGAAGAAAAAGGGGGGCAAGGGGGTGGAGCCCCCGATCAAGAAGCAGAAGGTTGCCGGGGGCACCATTGAGAAGGCGGCCCCCCTCATAGTACTCGATGATCAGCCCTCCGCTGACCCCCCGGCAATTGATACTCCGATGGCTCAAACAGACCTTCCCCCGGGGAACCTGCCTCGGGAGATTATTCGGCTCTCCCTCGCTCCGGGGGCATCTGTATTGCACGGTTCAGCCGAGCCGATGTCTTTCCTGAGGGGGATTACCTCGATGATGGACAAAGAAGCCCTCTCCACCTATAACGATGACGCCCTCGAAGCCAGGGCCCTTCGATCAGCTCTGACTGTAAGTGTTTTTACTTTGACTTGATCTCAACACTTAGCATAATCCCAATGTCCGTCTGAACCCTCTGTCTGTTATTCAACAGGCTTGTATAACCTTCGGTGAGCAGGCCCGAAGGCGAGAGGAGTGGTGCCGTCATAAGGCCGAGCTAGAGAAGTCCGTGAAGGAGCTGATTCACGACAAGGACGCTGCCCTTCGGGAGGTGTGCAAGTTGGAGGACGCCCTTCGGCAAGCGGAGCTGCGGCTGAAGGAGGCCAGAGATGACGGGATAGCCGAGGGCAGGGCTGAGGCCGAGAGGGTTTCGGCCGAGGGGAGAAAACAAGCTGCCGAGGACGCCGAGAAGGCCAAGGCTGAAGCTGCTGCCAAAGCCCGAGAAGAGGCCATTGCTGGGTTCACCTCCGAGGGCTGGAAGGCTGAGGGCCAGAGCGAGTGGGTGGCCTCTGTGGTGAAGGCCTCGATCGAGGAGTGGGTGAGGGGCCCCGGGCTCGACTGGATGAATGAGAGGGGTGACACCTACTATCAAGCTGGCGAGTTCTTCACCCAGCACCTGGTTTACCGGAGGCTCGCCCGGCATTTTGTCACCTCCCTGGATGAGTTCAACCCCTTGGTGTACGGCCTCCCCCCGTTGCAGCCAGATGTGCGGGTCCCCCTCCCCGAGGGAAAAGAGCGCCCGGTGATTCATGATTCCATGATGATGGGCGTCGATGATGATGCCGAGGACGCCACCGGGACGGAGGTTACCTCGAAGCCATCGGGGGAGGGTGCCCCCGGGAATGATGTTGTTGATGTGTAATATGCGCTTAGAAATCTCTGAACACATTTTGTAATGAATAACTTTGATCCTTCGGCTTCGGCCTGTTTGTAATTTCACACTCACTCTTGTTTTTGATGAATGCATGCTGCCTCCGGGCTCTTCATATTTGAATGCGCCTTATGTTTTGAATGTATGCCTTCTCCTTTGAATGTATGTTTTAGGACTTAGAATGTTTTCTGATTGTGGCTTGCCCCTGGAAGCCTTCGGTAGCTGGGCACCCTCTGATGGATATGCAACCGAGGGTTCAGCAGCAATTAAGACTTAGAATTTTTTTTCTAAGTGTAGCACAGCATGAGGCCTTCGGGCGTTTGTAGTAACCCAATTCCTAGGACTTAGAAAAATTTCTAGGTGTAGATTTTCCCTTGTGAGCCTTCGGGAAATGGGATCCCTTCCTGATGTGTGAATATTGGACCGAGGGCCCAATGTTCAGGACTTAGAAAATTTTTGCAAGTGTAGCATGTCATGTAGCTTTCGGCTACTGTGGAGCCCCAACTGAAATATTGATTAGGCCGGGGGCCAATTCTTTAGGACTTAGAAAATTCTCTTCAGTGTTGATTCCTAGTGTATTGTAGCCTTCGATTGATAGGTAGCCTTCGGCTATTGGGTCCCTTTATAAGTTGAGGGTGAAATATGTAGGACTTAGAAAGATTTCTAAGTGCAGTTTTTCTTGGGAGCCTTCGGGAGATGGCACCCTCCATGATGTATGAGTAGTTGACCGGGGGGGGGGGGGGGAATATGCAGGACTTAGAAAATATTCTAAGTGTAGATTTTCCCTTGGGAGCCTTCGGGAGATGGCATCCCTTCCTGATGTATGAGTAGTTGACCGGGGGAAAAACATGTAGGACTTAGAAAACATTCTAAGTGTAGATTTTCCCTTGGGAGCCTTCGGGAGATGGCATCCCTTCTTGATGTATGAGTAGTTGACCGGGGGGAAAAACATGTAGGACTTAGAAAATATTCTAAGTGTAGATTTTCCCTTGGGAGCCTTCGGGAGATGGCATCCCTTCTTGATGTATGGCCTTCGACTGTCATATTCCTTTAGCTGCAATACTGATTGAGCCGGGGGGCCATCTTTAGGACTTAGAATTTTTTTTTTGCAAGTGTTGTTGTATCGCATAGCCTTCGGCTATTGTATTCCCCTGGCTGTAATGTTGATTGAGCCGGGGGCCCAATTTTAGGACTTGAAATTTTTTCAAGTGTTGTTTCTTTGTGTAGCCTTCGGGTGATAGGTGCCATCTGACTCTGCATTACTTTGCGAGATGCCTAGGGGCTACTCCTTTAGGACTTAGAATATTTTCTAAGCGTAAATTGGTGTTGAGTTTCCGGATGTAGATCCCTTGTGTTGTATGAGTCTCTGGCCGAGGGCCAAATATGTGTGGAATCCTGTTGTTGTGAAGAATGCCAACGATGAGTGTGTGCCCTCGGCATACATTTTAAAAGTTGTAGATTTCGACCCTTGCTGGAGCCTTCGGTGCTTGTGTGACCGGAGGTGACCAGGCAGTGGACTTAGCCGTTTCCTGATGATATTTGTTTGAGTGGTATCCTTCGGGAAATAGGAGCCTTCAATTACCGGAGGTGTCCCCGTGGGGAGCCCTCGGGATGTTGTGATCTGTTGGAGTGTACTCTTTGATTTCTCGCTGAGTCTACTCCCCTTCACCCTTTTTTTTTTGGTTGGTGGTGAAGGGAAGGCATCAAGAAACTTGGTTTCTTGGTAAGGCTGGGCCTATTAGGAGACCATCAGAATACACCAATGGCTCTCCTCCCTCGGGTTAACCTTCCGAGTTCCGAGGGGATCGAGGGACGTTTCCTGGGCACAAGATATGGTGGTCCGTAACCTGCCTCCCCTTGGGGGATGGCGCGGAAAGCGCCTCATTTTTGAAAGTCGTCCCCTCGGCGCTAGACATAGTCCGTGGCCTGCCACACCCTTGGGGTGGTGGCGCGGGGAGCGTTTCGGTTTGGAAGTCGAATCCTGGGCATTTCTCATGCCTGTCATACCCTGGGGGTAGTGACGCGGATAGCGTTCTGTTTTTGAAAGTCGAATCCTGGGCATTTCTCATGCCTGTCATACCCTGGGGGTAGTGACGCGGAAAGCGTTTCAAGGAAGGGTTTTCATTTGCACACTAGTTGCAAATGGCCGGGGGCACTACGTGCCGCCGGCACCGATGGTGGCGCCCTCGGTATGTGCGTCCTCGTGGGGTACGGCTTTTAGAAACAACACTTGGTGTTAGTTTCGATGTGTAGCCCCCGGTACTTGGTACCGAGGGGTCTTTCTGTAGGAACACTTGGTGTTCTCTTTTGTTGTAGTTGATATAGGCGTCTACCCTTGGTACTTGGTACCGGAGGGTCTTCAAATGAGACATTTGGTGTTTCCCAACAGATGTTTGGAAGTTGATAGGAGAGCATATCCCTGGCACTGGGTGCCGAGGGGTCTTCTTTGAAACATCTGATGTTTTTTCTTCGTTTCGATGTTTGATGATGGAGGTGTACCCTCGGCCCTGGGTGCCGAAGGGTCTTCTGTAGGAACACTTGGTGTCCTCTTCTTTTCTTTTTTGATGTTGAAGGTGAGGATGTACCCTCGGCACTGGGTGCCGAGGGGAAATGAAACATATGGCGTTCCTTGTTGTTGGTGATAGGAGTTCCCTCCCTCGGTACTAGGTACCGAGGGGTCTTGACTGAAAACACGTGGTGTTTTCACTGTTGTTGTAGGTGTTGATGGTGTCCGCCCTCGGCACTTGGTGCCGGAGGGGGTTCTTCTCGTGGTGAGGCCTGGGGCCTGTAGTCAGTATGAGGGCTTGATGTCTTGAATGTATCTTCATTCTTCGAAATTGAAGGCCTTGGGCCATAGGATAGTACATTCACTAGTTATGAGGGCTTGGCCGTTCTTACATTATTGATAAAATTTAACTAAATGGTGTACATTCCAATGCCTAGGGACTTCTTTCCCGTTGGGGCGTTTGAGCTTGTAGGTCCCAGGTTTGATGATGGCTGCTATGATGTAGGGGCCTTCGAATTTTGGTGCCATTTTTCCTCCCTCGGTTGGTTGGCTGGCTTCCCTCCTCCGGAGGACATAGTCCCCCACTTGAAATTCTCGGGTGCGAACTTTGGCGTCGATGTAGCTTTTAACTTGCCTTCGGTAGTTTTCTGCCCGGATGAAGGCCTGCTCCCGGCGTTCTGAAATGAGGTGGAGGTCGAGGGCCATGTTGCTGTCGTTGACCTCGGGGTCATATTGGATCACCCTTCGGGTAGGAAGGGTGACTTCCATAGGAGCTTTGGCTTCAAAACCGTAGCAGAGGGAGAAAGGTGTTTCACCTGTTGCTCGCCGAGGGGTGGTGCGGTAGGCCCAAAGGATGTTGTGGAGTTCTTCCACCCAGCCACCACCCTCGGCCTCCAGCTTCTTTTTGAGGCCCTCGAGCAAGGTCCGGTTGGCGTTCTCTACTTGCCCGTTGCCTTGAGGGTAGGCAACGGAGGAGAAGGTGTGTTTGATGCCCCATGCCTCCAGAAGGGCACAGAAGGGGGCTGCCTCAAATTGTGTCCCATTGTCGGAGATGATCTGCTGGGGGACGCCAAACCTTGTGAGGATGTTCTTGAGGACGAAGTGACGGCACTTCGCCTCTGTGATGCTGGCGAGAGGTTCAGCCTCCACCCACTTGGTAAAGTAGTCGACGGCCACAATGATGTATCTGTTGTTGGAGGTACCCCTCGGCAGAGGGCCCACAAGGTCTATCCCCCATCGAGAAAATGGGACAGAGGTGCTGATGGGGGCATAGTTGACCGCTGGCCTGCCGGGAGCTTTCTGGAAATGTTGACATGCGGTGCACCTCCGGGCAAGGTCAGCACAATCCTTGGCCATGGTTGGCCAGAAGTAGCCCTGGAGAATGAGCCTTCGGGACATGGAGAAGGGTCCCTGGTGAGCTGAGCAAGTGCCACTGTGCACTTCCTCCATTGCGACCTCGGCTTCATCTGGATGAAGGCACCGAAGTAGCGTGCCATTGTAAGATCGTTTGTAGAGCCTTCCATCTTCGATGGTGTAGCTAGGAGCCCTCAGCTTTGCCAGTTTAGCGCGGGCCTCATTCTCGGGTAGCTGCCCTGTGGAGATGAAGGTGGTGATATCTGAGATCCAATCCTCTTGACATTGTTGTATGTTCATAACGGGGCTTGCATGGATGCTTGAGAGGCTGAGTTCCTCGATTTTGGCAATTTTGGAGATGTGCTCGGGGGAGTCGGCCGAGAGCTTAGATAATATGTTGGCCTCGGAGTTCTGAGCCCTCGGTATTTGAGTGAGAGAGTGTGCCTCAAATACCTTAAGCAACTCCTTGGCCGCTTCCTTGTACTGTTTCATTCTCCCCTCCTTGGCCTCATATTCTTCGGAGATTTGGCCGACAACCAACTTGGAGTCGCATTTGATGTGGATCTGCCGAGCCCTCATGTTGGCAGCCAGCCGAAGGCCACATAGGAAGGCCTCATATTCGGCCTCGTTGTTGGAGACTTTGAAGGAGAAGCGGACTGCATAGTAGGCCCTGAAGCCCTCGGGAGTAATGAGGACCACTCCTCCCCCGCATGCTTTGGTCGCGGAGGAGCCGTCAGTGTAGAGGGTCCACCAATCATCCGAGGCAGCTGAGGGCTCCCCGTCCGTGGCTGCCCTTGCGGTACATTCCATCACAAAGTTCACCAGGGCTTGGCCCTTGATGGCAGGCCTTGGACGGATGTCAATGTTGTACTGGCTCAAGAAGATAGCCCATTTCACCATGCGGGAGGAGCTGGTGGGGCTCCTCATGAGGGCGCCGAGGGGTTGATGAGTGAGGACCTGAACCGGGTGAGCCTGGAAGTAGTGGCCCAACTTCTTGACAGTCCAAACGATGGCCAACACCGTTTTTTCCACAGGGGAGTACCTGAGCTCGGCCTCCCTTAGGGTCTTGCTAACGTAGAAGATGGCATGTTGGATGCCGTCTTCCTCCCGGATGAGCACAGAGCTGATGGCCGCCGGGCTGACCCCAAGGTAGAGGTAGAGGGTCTCCCCTACCTTTGGTTTTGAGAGCACAGGGGGTGAAGATAGATACCGCTTGAGCTCGTCGAAAGCCTCCTGGCATTTTGGAGTCCATAGAAAGCCAACCGTCTTCCTCATGATCTGGAAGAAGGGTAGAGATTTCTCCGCCGATTTAGACAGAAAGCGGTTGAGGGCTGCCAGGCGGCCCGTCAACCGTTGGACTTCCCTCACATTGCGTGGGGGCTCCATGTCGATGATGGCCTGGATCTTCTCGGGATTGGCCGAAGGTGCACTTCTTCGGGTTTAGCCGAAGGTTGAATTTTTGCATGATGGCGAAGATTTCCCGGAGGTCGTCAGCATGGCTGGAAGATTGCTTGCTTTTGACGATCATGTCGTCCACATAGGCCTCCATGGTGCGCCCTAAGACGGCTTGAAAGACCCGGGCCACCATCCGGGTGTAAGTGGCTCCTGAGTTTTTTAGGCCGAAGGCCATTACGAGGTAGCAGAAGATGCCCTCGGGAGTCATGAAGGCAGTTTTTTCGGCGTGTTCCTCGTGCATGAAAATTTGGTGATACCCTCGGAAGGCATCGAGGAAGGACATGATCTCACACCCTGCGGTTTCATCCACCAGTTGATCAATATTTGGTAGAGGGAATGGATCCATAGGGCACGCCTTGTTGAGATCGGTGTAGTCCACGCACATGCGGAAGGTAGGGGGCTTCTGTGCGAGGACTACATTTGCTAGCCATGAGGGATATTTCACCTCCTTGATGTGCTTAATGGAGAGGAGCATGGCGACCTCCTTCTTCACAAATTCCCTTCTCTCGGCGGAGAGGGGTCTTCTTCGTTGCTGCACTGCCTTTGCCGAAGAGTCCACCGAGAGGCGGTGGGTGATGACCCTTCGGCTGATTCCCGGCATGTCCTCCGGCCCCCATGCAAAGACAGTGGCGTAGGCGCGGAGGGCGTCGGTGATACCGGTCTTCAAATCTTCAGGGAGCTGGGCTCCAATCTTCACGACTCTCTCCGGTTGGGCCGGATCGAGCGCAAAGTCTTCTACGTCCTCGGCCGGTTCAGCCCTCGGCCTTCTTTCCTCTTGGTCGATGGTTCCGGTGATGGTGTCAACACGGAATTCCGTCTTGCTTACCTTCTTAGTGACCTGAAGATAGCAGGCGCGGGCAATTTTCTGGTTCCCCCGGGAGTAGCCAATGCCCCCCTCGGCGGGAAACTTGAGGCAGAGGTGCCTCATGGAGATGATGGCTTCGAGGTCCTCGAGGGCTGGCCGACCGAGGATGATGTTGTGGGCGCAGTCAATGTTGACGACGACGAACTCCACCTCGAGCTGGGCTCTATGGAGCTCGTCGCCGAAGATCACCGGGAGGGTTATTACCCCCTCGGAATCAATAGTATCGCCGGTGAAGCCGGCAAGAGGGGTCTTAATGGGCCGATGGGACCCCCTCTCCAGATGCAGCTCTCTGAAGGTGCTGAGGTACATTACATTGACGGAGCTGCCCGTGTCAATGTAAGTTCGGTGAATGATGGTGTCGTTTATCTCCGTCCGAATCACCAAGGCATCCCTGTGAGGAGAAGAAGTAGGAGGGAGATCTGCGTTGGTGAAGGTGATGGGTTCCTCCCTCAATCGCTTTACTGGGGGCATATGAGTGACTTCCCCCACGTAAAGTGATTGAGCCCACTTCTTTCGCTGGCTGGTGGAATCGCCCCCTGTATTGCCACCGGTGATCATGAGGATGTGGCGTTTTTTCTCCTGGTAGCGGGGGTATTCCTCCTCCTCTTCTTCCAAGTTTCCAATCTCCCTCTTCTTGCCGAGGGGGATGGTATTCGGGTTTACCCAAGCATTTACCTTCGTGTGGTGCCCTCGGGGAGGCCCCTGATGAGAAGGTCCCTCCTGCCGAGGGCTCTGAACAAATTGGGACAGGTGCCCTGCTTGTATTAATCTCTCGATGGCCGTCTTCAGCTGATGGCAGTCATCGGTCTTGTGCCCCTGGTGCCGATGGAAGCGACAGTAGGGGAACTGAGGGTTGATAGCGTGTACCTCCGGGGGTGCGCGAGAATCACGCTCAACGAGGCCCCTCTCCTCGGCAAAATCGAGGATGATGCTGACGTGGTGCGTCAATGGTGTCCGAGGGTGGTCCAGGAGAATGGGATGTGCCCAAGTCTTGGGGTTGCTCTTATATCCTCCCCCGGGCTTGGCTTGGCCTTGCCGAGGGCGGTCATCAGAGGGTCCCGAAGCCTTGGGGTGATTTGGAGGAGCCCCCGGCCCTCGGTTATGCTTGTTGTCAGCCCTCGGAGGCTGCTGGTCCGGATGCTGGTGATACTTCTCCACCTCCTCGGCCTCAGCATATCGGTCCCCCCGCTGCAAAGCCCTTATGTAGTCGCGGGGGGGTTCAATGATGAGGCTCCTTGAAAAGTTGCCGGTGCGGAGGACGGTTTGTAGGAGGGCCAGGAGGGTCCCGTCATCAGCACCGTCGACCTTGTCGGCCTCCGTCCTCCAGCGCTCTAGGAAGTCCTGAAGGGTCTCATCCCTCTTCTGGCGTATTGTTAGGAGGTGGGAGAAGTGCTTCCTTGTGCGACGCCTCCCGACAAATTGTGTCAAGAATCGCTGGGCGAGTTCTTGCCATGAATCAATACAACCCTCGGGCAGCCTATTGAACCATTCGTATGCCGGCCCCTCTAAGGTGGAGAGGAACCAACGACACAAGTATTCGTCCGACGCCCCTACCATCATCATGCTGTTCTGGTACTTGCTGTAATGTTCCTGGGGGTCCGTCTTTTCGTTGTAGGGCTGTATATGTTGCCCTCGGTATTTTTCCGGGATCCGGGCCGCCAATACCCTTGGGGTAAATGGCGTCCGAGTCCGGAGCTGGATGACGGGTTCCCCGGAGCCCTCGGCCACCTTCTTCTGTAACTCCTCCATTTTGGCCATCATGGCCTCGTATTTGAGATCTGAATGAGGGGTGGAGGTGGTGGCGTGAGCTTTGTTGGACTCCATCTCGTCAAGCCGGCGTTGGAGGGCCGCAATAATCTCGTCCCGGGGATCCTTCGGGAGGGTCTCCGCCCCCTGCGAACGAACTCGGGCCGAGTGGGCCTGGTTGATTTGGTGCCGAGCATCATCGGCATGAAGGGGTGCCTTGCCTTTGTCCCGAGGGGGACGCTCCTCGTCTGCCCTTGAAACAGATCCCCCGCTTTCCTGGGGCCTGTGGAGTGCTTTCCCCCCTCGGCGGTCTTGGACCCCTCGGCGGTCTGGCCTTCCTCCGAGCCGGTTGAGGGCGGAAGTACGGGGCCTTTCCTTGTTGTCATTATGGCGGTCCCGGGACTGAACTTCCTGGGAGGACGTATCTTGGGCCACCACCCCCTCGTCGTTCCTCACCCGAGGGGTGGGATTTCCGAAGGGGTGTGGCAGAGGGGGAAGTATGATGTTTTCCCCAACCTGAGGGTGAGCTGGAGCCAGGGTGCCGAAGGCACCCGGGTTCTGGGTGAGCGTTTGGATGAAGGCGGAGAGCGCCGATTGCACGTCGATGGTGAGAACCGGAGGGCTGACTTGGTCATCGCTCCGGTCTTTCTTCTTGGCCTTGATGCCGAGGCGGGCATCGGGGGCATTTTGTTGGATCTGAAGGCGTAGGTCGACAACCGCCTGTTCCAGCCCGGCGATGACACCGCCCTCGGGAGCCCTGTGAGAGGCTTCGGGGGCGTTGACGTCGCCGAGGGCCAGGTTCTTGTCTTCTACGTTCTTTGAGTTGGCACGTGTTGTCCTCACCATTTTGATGGAGGGCTAGTGTTTTGCGTTTGATCGAGGGGGAGAGTTTCTTACTTGATTGTTCGAGCTCTCAACGAGAGCACCAAATGATGGATAGTCTACCCGGGGGTATATATCCGAAGGGTTATTGCGGGGAATAACTTAGAGAGAAGTCAGAGTAAGCAAGTAAATGTAGAGAGAGAGTGTATTCAGTATGAATGTCGTTTTCAGCGTGGTTACAAATGTGGAAATGGGGTGCTATTTATAGTAGCAATAAATGCCGGGAAGGGACACGTGTCAAGCGCTCATTGGCCGAGGGGTCACCTCAACTGGTTGGCGCTGGCAGCCGCATGTGGCCGCATTTAATGCGGCTGTTGGATGGGACGTCTGTGCAGGGTACGGTGATCTGTACGCATGTGAGGCGGATATCTTGTCGAGTGAGATGCCTTCGGCTATAGAGCTGTAGCCGTGGGCTCCTCCAACCGATGGCACCCTGGTGCCGAGGGCTCACAGTGCCGAGGGCTACTGTTTTCGCCGTTTTCTCCCAGTTTCTTAATTTGCTTGAGAAACCCGCTCTGTGAGAATTTAGAGCCTTCGGCCAGGGAGCCGAAGGCACCCCTGGCGCGTAGTGCGTGCTGCTTGGCACTCTGGGCGCTGTGATTTGGGCCTGCTAGGCCTTCTGGGCCTGTTGGGCCTTCGCTGGAGTAGTAGGAGTCTGTGGGCCGGGGGTTCCCGGGCCATATACTCCATCAGGAAGCCTGGACCGGAACTTGAGGAGAGGATAAATACAACAAGATCAGGCCTAAAATGTAGGTGACCATAGTTGGATAATTCCTAACAACTAACTCCCTAACCCGGCGGAGAAGGAGTTTAATCCGGAAAAGGAATTTAATCCGGAAGGGGGTTGGGAGTGGGCGAGAGAAGAGGAGAATGTGAGTATAAATGTTTGAGGGGAGATCATTTATGGTATGACATGAAAACTATCACATAAAGCAAATACATCTCTTATTGATAATCTTAGCATACTTTCATTGTGATTCTTGTACGACGCCCTACATATTTTTATTGTTTGAATTAGCTTAAAAATTGTTTAAACATATATTGTCAATTAATGTTTTGCTTATTGGATGTTTACAAAAGTTTGATCAGTAACATTTTTAGCATTCCTCAATTGCTTGGATCCTTTGTAATTATATCCTATAAACACAAATACGTAATAAAATATTTATATATCTAATGATAAGTATTTTTGTTAGTACGAAGTGATTCCAACTTTGTTGAACTTTTTGATCTGAATAATTCATCCCATATTTTTAACATATGTAAATTTGAGTTTGTCAAACTATTCATTAGATTCTCACTATTCATTAGATTCTCACATAGTTAAACGTATAACATAGTTTAACATATAAAAAATCGATTTATTTAAAAAATGATCCCTTGAACACTATCACTTGAACCCTAATTCAAAACTATGCTAATGAAGTAAATACTATCGTCTCTGGATTTCTCTGGTCACAACAAACGTACATAGGACAATGGGTGGAGGAGCAGGTACTCCGGATTTCTTCTATAGAGAAGCTCAGCGCCTGGGTTATGTTGCCCGCTCTGCCTTCAAGGTCGCTGCATAACAATTTTCTTTTTTTATACCCGTTAAACATTTTCTTGTTGTTTTGTTCTAATACAATATCAGTTTTCGGGTCGAAGAGCAGTTACTGCAGATGCAGAAGCAGTACAAACTCATAACCCCTGGTTCCTCTGTTCTTGATCTAGGATGTGCTCCTGGTGCTTGGCTTCAGGTGTGTGTTTGTGTCAATTTCATATACCAATACTTCCTATGCCAATATTTTCAGCCTTGACTGTTCCCAAAAGTTCATCATAGGGTTAATTTGAACACATTTACTGCTGAATAAATTGAGCGTTTTGCTCTGTGCAGGTGGCATGCCAGAGTTTGGGTCCATTGAAATGCAGTGGCGCTATAGTTGGGATCGATACAAAGGTTTGCCTTTTCTAATTGAACCGTTAGGGTTTAGTTATATGAAATCTGTTACATTTTTATAGTGAAGTCATATTGCATGTGATTTATTGCGGAATGAGAGAAAACTCAAGGTTGATATGGAAAATGAAGTTCTATGGAAAATGGTGATATTATGCAGAGCAGAAGGTGAAGGTTCCAGCAACGCACTGTGATTCAAGGGTTCAAACCGTTTGTGGCAATGTTATGGAATTACCAAAGGAAAAAATTAAGGACCTTTCTCCTCAGGTACTTATTGAAACAAATTTCCAAGTGTTTTTGTGGTTAGCACTGTTTTTAGGTTGTGTTTCTGTTCTGTTCAAACCGGAGTACATATTTTTGTTTTTCATTTCTGCTTTCTTTTGCACCTTTTGGATCTGTTGTGCTTCCAAATTCCATGCGAATGATCTGGAGACATGCATTGGCTAAGATAGCTGTAATGATAATGAAACTTCAAACTCCCGTTTCTCATACTGTAATTATTTCTTTTTATTATCCCCTACAGCCCTACCTCAATCCCTTCACTAAGAGGAGGGAATTCTTCCTGATAATTAACCTGGAGATCACATTAATTTTCCATTAATGTTATCCTCTCTATAGGGATACCTCAACAGGGTATATAGTTGGCCTAGGATTCTGCTCCAGAGATGCCAATGCAATCTTTAAGGATTTCTGCCTCATCTAGTTCAACTCCCAATATGTTTTTTTTTCTCTAGCTTGTATATGTATTGAGTTATCTGAACCTATGTGCAATCCTTTCATGTGGGTCATTTTCATGTGCAATCGTTTGGTTTTGTCTAAAACGGCTTGAAATAATTATTGCTGATTTAAAACTTCACTTCGGTTCAATTTCTTTTGGACTGATTAGTTTTTTTAAGTTTTATTGGGGTCTTGTTTTTTGTTTTGTTTAAGTTAGCTCATATCGCTTTGGTTCTGACTTCTGATTAATACGGTTTGGGAAAGATGTGACCAATGTAAACCTGAAATGCATATGTTTCAGGTTTGTTTGGGTTGAATTAGCTCGGTTAGATTAGCCAAACCGATTTGAAATACCCACTCCTAATAAAAATGATGCTTTACACCCATTCCAAAAAGGAGTCTTGTTTGTAATGTTGAAATTCACATTACAAAACAAGATTGTTTTGTGGAAGAGAATAATTGTTGGAAAAGTAGGCCCTAGCGCTCAGTTATAAACTAATAAGAGTTAGGATGAGATGCTGAGTCTACGTGGAAGTAGGCCCAAGCAGCTAGAAAAGGATTTGTACAACAATGCTTGAGAGTACAGGTTAGTTGATATTAAAACTTTTTGATCAGTTGCTAATTATCATAGATCTCTATTCTGCAGAAAAAGGGGTTCTCTGTCATACTTTCTGACATGTGTCCACTAGTTTCTGGAATAACAACGAGAGATTCCGTTCTATCCGCCGAACTGGGACACCGTGCACTTGATCTGGCTGTTGGAGGAGGTGCCTTTTCTCCTCAATGCACGAATCCTCAAGTTGACGGTGAATTGAATGACATTGGGGATAATGGTATATTACAACTTGGAGGTCATCTTGTCATAAAGCTCTTGGAAAGTGAAGACACCAAGGGTAATCACTTTTTACTTTGAGTCCCAAGTATCAGGTCATTCTCTTTTTTGATCCCCAATTTTTATTTTTATTTTAACGACATGACTGGTTTGTTTATCATTTTTGTTCATTTTCAATCACTTGTCCTGTGGATCTACTCTACTGTTCCAAAATGAAATAAATGAAAGTCGGGACTAAAAAGTATGAATAACCTTATAGGCGTTTGACCAAAAGCATTTTTTTTACATATTCCTCCATAACTAAATGACTTTCAGTGTTTTTTTGCTGCATAGAAATTTGTGAGATATGCAAACCTCTCTTCAGAAAGACATCATGGCTGAGGCCAAAAGCAACAAGGTCATCTTCAAGAGAGATATATTTGATTTGCCAAGGTTTGCGCAGTCGTCGAGCCTCCTAATTCTTCATCCTCATGTGAGTCTGAATCCCAAATTCTGGTTGCTTCTTATTGAGGTTGGCAGCTATGTTTTCTTTTGTATATAGGAAATGTCATTGAAAACCTCTGTAAACTTCTACTCTATAATTTAAAAGTGATAAACTATGATTAGTCGATTTTTATTTTTTTTCCCTTTTCGTTAACAATTCTTGTTTTAGTCTTATATTCTCTTAGATAGAGTTTGTCAATGTGAAAATTTGTTTATTTTTCATGGGAAATAGAATAGGAGAACGTTTCGAATATTGATTTCTCTTTTGTTGCTCAGGAGTTGGCTAGAGCAACTTGTTGGCTATCAGTTTTTCATTAGAAACCCGTTTCTAATATTGATTTCTGTTTTGTTGCTCACGAGTCAGCTAACTTTGTTTTTCAATTTTTTTTAAAGGGAAATGGGTTGGGTTGGGTGTTTTGGAGGGGTTTGGGCAGTGGGGGGGGGGGGGGGGGTAGGAAGTAATTAGAAAAAAATTTAGGGTGAACCGGCTCGGCCCAGCCCGTGAACCGCCAGGTGAACCGGGCCCGAAGCAACCTGAGCCGGTTTTCGGGCCTAACTTTTCCAAAAAAAGCCCGATCCGAACTGAACCGAGCCCTGGACCGGCTACCCGCTACCATCATCAATCATCATATTTGAATGCATAATCATCGGATTCCACATTTATTACCATCCCTGATTGCTAATTAGGGCATGTTCAATGAGAGGGTGGATTGTGGTGATGTGACATAGGAGAGATAGAGATATGGTGAATATTTTATTTTAACGTAGATGAAGTGGTTTGTAGATAAAAATGAAAAAGAGAAGAGAGATAGGGATAATATGCGGACTAGAAGAATTTTCCAAATAGGACTAAATGAAACTTTAATTCCCAAAATAGGATCATAACTTAAAAATTCCCTAAATATGACTAGTTTTCCAATTGTACTCTTGCTTTGCTTTAAATCAATTAATATTTCATTAATAATTAAAATATAAAAGTAATAACATAAGTTATTTATAATAAAATGTAAAAAAACATGAAATAAATATTAAATAAAATTAATAAAAATAATAAAATTTGAAAAATAAAATCTTATAAAAAAACTTAAAAAAGTAAAATATAGTAAATAAAAAATGTACAAAAATATAAAAAAACACGCAAGCCTGTGTTGCCGTCTCAGCAACCTCCCAGCACAACCAGCTCAGATCACCAAAAAATGAAAACATGTGTTAGCAATGCCATTTTGATGAAGTTTTGAGAAAATTTTGACATTCTCAAAAAGTAATAATGTCATTTTCACGGAAAAATTGCATTTTTTACACATTATGGTGGGCAGTGGCTGAGACTATGGGAAAGGCCTCCATATTGTTTAAGGTGTTTTATCTATTTTTTATTTAGTTTTATTTTTTATGTTTTTTTTTTAATTTTTATTATTTAGGTATCTTTTTTAAATATTATAATTTTTTTTATATTTTTCTACAATTGTTTGTAAAACTTAAACCATTTTTATTTATTTATTTTATTTATTACAAACTAAAATATGATTATCCTATTAAGTTATGGTAAAGGTAAAATAGGAAGATAGGGTACACTTTAGTCATATTTTGGGAAGATGAATAACATAGTTCTGTTTGTGCATTTAGGGATTAGTTTAGTTATGTTTAGGACTATTATCTCATGTAGACCTAGGTTTATAACAAGGTCCACAAATGAACCTTACACGGGACTCGGCTCAAGAGGAAAATGTAGATGTATATGGGTTAAAAGTAATATAAAAAAGGAAAATAAATAAAAATAGGAAATAATGGGTCCTACACATAAAAATTGTGAGATAAAAAATGAGACTCTTAGGTTTTTTGCTATGTATTCCACGTCATATATTCATCTAAACAATCCAATTTGTCGGTGTTCCCTGCACTACATCATATTTGTAATGTTTCTATATACAAAGGAGCGTGGAAAATCAGCTGGTTTTCCCGCCCAAAGTTGAGTATTAAACCCGGTAGGCTGAAACGGGTTCCTAGATTAGAATATGAGCCATTAAAAAAAACTATTGACTCGACCTACCCCGGCCCGGCCCGGCCCAGTCCCAGTACAAACAAGGCCGGTCCTGGGGCATGGATAAAGGGGCATGGATAAAGGGGCATGCGCCCAAGGTCCATTGCTCCTCTAGGGTCCATAAATTTTTCAGTTATATATGAGGAATATTTTGGTCAGTTCAAACTGATCAGAACCGCCGTAAGGCCAATCCCGTTTGAGAGCCTTTTGGGTTGACTTTTTTAATGAAATTTTGTGAGCACGTTCTTCATGAAATGTAAAACATTCACATATAACTTAATCAAAAAGTTCAATTGGTAGTCAGTTAAATAAATTTTTCAAAAACACTATGCAAACATATGCATAAAAATCACAGTGTTTTTCAACAATTTATTTAACTGATTTTCAAATTGAGTTTTAAGCCGAAATTTTAAGCGAATGTGCTACACTTTGTCATGTTCACAAAATTTCATCAAAAAATGTAATTCGGAAAGCCCTCAAACGGGCTTGGCCGCAAAGCGGTTGTGGTCAGTTCGAACTGACCACAACCGCTTTGCAGCCAAGCCCGTTTGAGGGCTTTCCGAATTAAAATATATATATGTTTTTATTTTAATACGATAGTATATATAAAAAATTAAAAATAAAATTAAACATATAATTTTTTCATTACGTTCAATTTTTTATTCAACATCTACAAACTACAATTCTAAAATTTTGAAACATCTATACCAGAAATGGTTTGTGAACAAATTTCACACTTTCTTTTGATTCATTAAGTGTACGTTAATGCATAAATGTCAATATTTTCATCTACTTCTCTCATGTAAACTCATGATTCATTGATAGTATTTTGCTAATTTTTCTGTTCTCTCGTGCAAGTGAGGGATTAAATTAGCGTACCCAGGATTTAGAAACTTGCAATTTGTTTTAGTCTAGTGAAAATATGAATCAAAATATGAAAATTTTACTCCATAAACGATATTAACTTTCGTGTTTTTCTCCAATTCAAAATTATGTACTATTAACAATCGTTCTACTTTTTCATTGAGTCGTTTTGGTACATGGTATTGTTGAATGTCAATTATCAAATACTTAAATATAATCTCTCTAACCGTTTTTTGTTAATTTCTTTGATATGTTATACTCGTATTTGAATGAAAATAATGCTCAAATATACTTAATTATAGTTTTTATGAACAAATATAAAAATTTACACGTTGTCTTTAAGGCCTACTCTATATGTATCGCCTTGGGCCATAAAATGTCAGGACCAGGCCTGAGTACAAACCCGGGCTGGTATTGGGCCTGCAGCTCATGACCCCAGTCCTGCCCGTCCCGGCCCGGGCCCGGTCCACCCTTAATACCATAGAGGAGTCTTCAATTCACTTGCTCCACCTTTCTCCCTGCCGACACCTTCGTCGGAGCCACTACCGTCACTACTGTCATCGTGAATTCTGCAGTTGCTTCTTTGTCATATCCGTCGTTGGTCAAACTGTAGATATGCAACCATGCAAGAAGGCTAAAGTTAAACGGAGTACTTCGAGAGAAGAATTTTTCCTGATGCAAGATTGAAGGTTGATTGATGTTTAAATTGGGGAAAAGACTTGAATAGGACTAATACATAGAACTACTTTCAAGTTAACAGACAAAAATGCCCCCACCTTGAAAGAAGCTTGCTGGAGAATAAAAATGCCACAGCTTATCCGACGACCTCATGGCTGCTGCCGGTTCTCTGACCACAGTGGCTTCGCAGCTGGTCTTTTGATGACCAGGTGGCCGTCACCATTCCTCAAGCGACCAGTGGCGATGCTCCGGAGACCTCCGCCACTAGTCCTCCGATGACCTCCGCCACTCATCCTCCGGCCATCTCCACCACTGCTCCTCCAGCGACCTCTACCACTGCTCCGACAATGTTATTGTAAGGAATAAATGTAATTAGATTTTGATGATGCTAAGTTGATTAGAATTTGAAAGTATCCCTATAGAAATTTTGTATTAGAATTTTTCCTTGTATGTACTAGAATAGTCGACATGCCAGAAACCCTCTTGGTCTTCCTTATCTGAATATCTACCAGAGTTGCTCCCAGAGTTGCTCTCCAGAGAAGCTATCAGAGTTGGATACCAGAGTTGGCATCAGAAGCAGCCATCAGAGTTCTGACCAGAAAACCTCATCAGACATGCTCGTACCTAGCAGAACTCGAAGGCACTTACCGACGGTCGTTAAACTAACGGGAAATCCTCTAACGGCTAGGAACCATTCGACGAGAACATGGTACTGTACACGCATTAAATGTTCAATTAATGCTGTACGTACGAAGATATATTTAAAGCTGATGATTGACCATGCGAGTATCTTCGCGCCCCCAAAATAGCAAGTCGAAGGTCCAACCGGTCAAGTCAACAGTACAAGCATTTAATGAAGCTGTCTTCTACACTCCAACAGGAAGACTGCTCCCAGTATATAAGATACACTTTGAAGAACTACCAGGATAACTTTAGCTACACAAACTTGCACAAACTATTTATTCTAAACTAAATACCTTCAAGCTTTCTTGAGATCAAAGACTCTCCTACCTCAACACGAAAAGCTCAAGTTGGAAGATATACTTTCTTATCCTTCATCCAACTAACAAGTAGCAAAGTTCCTCAGTTCTTCAACACTTCGAAAGCATCATCTACACATCCTTTGTGAAGAAGCAACGTTGGAGAAAACTGATCTTGAATCAAACACTTCTTGAAAAAGAAGGGGCGTCTCAAACTAACTGGAGTAAGTGAAGTGGTGATACTTCCAAGAGACTCAGTGAAACGAGACCAGCCATCAGGAAGCAGGACTGCATCCCGGGTGGCAACTAGGCTTGAAGAAGACGTGGAGTGCTTCTTAAGTTCTAGAGACTAAGGCGTTGTAAACTGTTGTTTTTGCAAGCTTAGTGGAACAGTGGACTAGAGGAACAAGTTGTTCCTTGAACCACTATAAAAATCCCCGGTGTCATTTACTTTACTCATTTATTTTTGCACTTAAGAACTTGACTGTTTAACTCAAAAGGTTGGACTCTGTGCTCAGCAGATCTTCCTCAAGAGTTATCAGAAAGGCATTTGCCTTAGTGTTGTCTGAGGCTACCCGGATAGAAACCAATCTGCTGCCAGGTCCAGTTCTTCCATCAGAACTTGACCTTCTCTGTCACCAGAATTCGACCATCTCTGATAAGTCAGTTGTGACTTGGAGAAAAGTTTGAAAAATCATGAACAGTCTATTCACCCCCCTCTAGATTGTTCCCATTACAAACGGGACCAACAAGTGGTATCAGAGCCTCCCCGTTCTTGTA